AGTGGACAGACCGAACAAAACAGAACGAAATGAATGTTAATAAATTTATTCTGATCAGTAGTCTCACACGGGGCACTATTTTTGAGACGACGTATGCACCAAGAGCAAATTTAGAATAAAATACAAACAAGCCTATTTATAAATCCATGTGCATACTTACACATCATATAAGTATGTAACGCAAGGTATGCTTTTAAACACAGCAGCTAATACAAGTGCTGTTAAATAATGACATTTTATACGTAATAACAGAGAAATATTTCACTAGGTACATATGCGTATTGCACTAATAATAATTAACAGTTTCTTTCCGAATTATCGTAATAATTATACTGATAAGAGTGCAAGTTCAATTGTGTATGCAGACAGTATACATATTGGTATAAATACATGACTGTACATACAGAATACATGTAAAAAAATATTGATAAATAATTGAATGTCTCCGTATATGAAAATGGGTGAACGTCCTTAATTCCCGATAAAACCAGATTGTAAACGTATTGTGATAAGACTTTCACGTAGTACACAATATTATGATATTCTACAAAATCGTTATCGACGCTGCGAGACGACATCCGCGGCCATTTTTATCAGCCCGCCTATGATGACGCAAACGATTCTTTTTTTATTTATTTATTGCGATAATTGTCGGCACAATACAAATGCAAGTGTCGAAGATACGCAAGATCACGTTGGCGCATAGACATCAGAAACAGAGGAAAGAAACAAAAAAAAAAAAACAAAAGAAAGAGAAACAGTTTTACCGAGGAAAAAATTATTGGAATTGAATAATTCAAGTTTGGCATTACATCATTTTAGAACTTGCACCGCGTGTACCTTCAATCTATCTCTATCTCCGGAGATAACGGCGTAAGGCCCGTAAACGTAACAGTGATTGACAATTTGCTGGCATCATTCCAGAAACAACTTACACTCCAATTTAGATCAGGCTACTAAAGAGCGACTTATAAACTATAAGTATATATATATATATATACAGTGAGTCACAAATATATCCACAGATTTCACAGCCATTACGAATACTTATCGTCAAAAAAAAAAATAAATGACGGCACAAGCTTCAAAACAAAAGATTCACTGCGAGTCCAACAGCTCAAGTCATTTGTTTAGTTACAACTTTTGTGATGTACTGTAGGCCAATAAGTACACGTGCTGTTTTTGAATGTGGTTGAGATTCAAAATCACGGTCATGGTTATTTCGGGTGAAAATACAGGTGCTCACGTAAGCACGTATGTACATGATATCGAATATACGCTATGTATAGATAATAATAGATAGATGATAGATATTTTCGAGAGACGGAAGGTAATGAGGAAAATACCTTCTACGAACGAACTACTGGCAGAGGCATGAAGCGGGCCATGTTTAGGTAAATGGCTCCGAACCCGGAAAATGACGCAGCTATCGCCGGCGTCGGCAACAACGGCGTCGGCACGCGTCCAATCGATAACGAAACACTGAAACAGCAGCAGGCTCTAGAACCATTAAAAAGGCGAAGAGTTGTATCTCGAAATTTAATAGTTCAAGAATTACCTCTCTCGCTACGTACCTATCTATGTATCACATCTTAAATCGTAAGACATCAACTGGAGATTACAACCATTTGGTATCTCTTGTTAAACAATATAAAAACGAAAAAACAAAAGTCGATCGCAGAAGAAAACAATTCACAAGTACACACTGTAGTGACGCAAAACAAAAGACAAGAAAAAAAATTGAGACTCAACAGTTGTTTGGTTTTAGTGTAAAACAAAAATGTAATCGATATAGGGGTCTTGATATGATTAATTAACAAAATAGTCGACGGCAAACGAACGCGACGACAGTTGAATAACAAAAACAATTGACCCACATCGCAAAAAGTCTGCATATTAATAATAATAGCAGTTATTATTATACTGTCGATAATGACAGTGATAATTGTTAACAGAATACCCCGCTTGTTTCAGCCGTGTATCTATATTTTAATTATGTTATTCATTAAATAACAAGCAAATATTACACCAGTAAACAATATATCTTCTCTAATTGAACATTATTTCAAATGCCCGACGTTAATTGGACTATTTTATTAGTTATTCCGAGTTAACACTTAACAATTCTTTGTATCTTTTAATGTCGTACTCATAATTTTGGTAGAAATTCACCTAAAAGTATCTTTTGTGATACTTAGATTGACTGATCAAACAGATTCAGATTGTTTTTTTTTTATTTTTGGCAAATCGTGCCGCTATGACATAACATCCACTAATAGCGGAAAAAGCCTCGACTAGAGCTAACTTTCTGATAACCTACAACTTGGGCGTGACGGAAATGTAGTTCGCGTCACTATTATTACAGTGTTGTGTTTTAATGTAAACAATTACTACATTTGCACAAAAATTTTGTTGAAACAGCACACGCACGGTCATATGATGGTTATTATCAGAAAATACTGTGTGCAGATTAACCTATCACAGGAAACAATTTCATTTATCGCATTGCAAAAACAACAACAACAACAACAACGGAATTTGAACAGCAGAAAAAGTTTTGCAATGAAAATGGTAAAAATACAGAAATAAACAAAAAGCAGCAGGCACGTGAAACAAAAATGAGCTGAACGACAAGACAAATAAAACAAACGAAGGAAACAAACAAAACGCTGAATATGGTATTCCAGATGGTCGTGTTTTTGACAACTGAGAACGGCACGTGCTTCATTCGTATAATAACAAAATTAATGCAAATGAATCCAAACTGTGTTTTCCTGATTAGGCATGTGATTATCCTATATCAATACCCGTACATTAAATAAAATTCGATAAATGTGTGGTTCCTTTTATTTTAAGCAATAAATTAGGCTCTAACGTATTAACACGATTATATCACGACGCTGATATAATAGATGATGTAATTATTTACTACAAGATTGTTTTTTTCGAGTGGAGTATTCGAAAAATTTCGGCGCCACGTAGTGGTTAGAAAGGTGACATCATTGCGGCCATGCAATTCAGATATTTGGCACAAAAATAGACTAATTTACACTAAATCAACAAATTTCGTGTTAAGAGAACGGCCAAAATGGTGTCATGCACTCCCGTAAATGTATTAGCAGCCAAAATTAATTACGCAGCCAGGCATTTGTTTTTAATTAAATTGCCGCAAACGGAATGCCAGTACAAATCGGAGAGAATGGACGATGGCGAAGATTGAAAAAGTTGAAAGTGTTTAATTGTAAGATGTGACATTATATAATAGGGGGAAGTCCATAAGAAGATAGATTGGTAGAACACCTTCTCAGACATGAAAGACCAGTGAAAGACGTACTGGAAGCAGAAACAGGAGCTAAGAAGGGCAAAGACACACTTGGATTAGAGATTAGATTAAGTGCTCTAGTTTCCGATAAATGCACCGGCTTAGTGCGTCATATTGCCTAAAACCGACAGCGTTCAGGAATGAACAAATCGTGGAACGCTGTTTCTCCCCAAATTTCAGTCCACGAGGGTGTGTATTACTTCCAAGAATCTGGCACCAGAGGCTCTCTCACGAGAAGATATAATTACAACGGTCGTAAAGTTTAGAAACCGTCGAGATAACGTAAAAGCGAAATGCCCAAAAACAGAACAACGCGCTACTGACAAAAAGGGCACTTCCTGCTCTTTTTATGGGCCTCCATTGTGCTCCGTGGCCGCGGTCTTTAACAACAACTCTTCACTTGTTTAAAACGCTCATTACACGACTGTTTCTCCGTATACCACCGGCTTTTGTCATTTTATCGCCGTCACGAAATAAATGAAACCGGCGACAAATGAAATGCGAATATCTCGCAATCAATTGGCTCCTCATCATCGCAGATTCGTTTATGTTTTTACTGTTTGGTCGTAATATTCGGGATTTTCGGGGAGAAGAAATGAAACAAGTGCAACTTGAAATACACACATAAGTAAGTGCACACTTACTTAGAAACTCCAGGCTTGGTTGCAACAAACACAAGGCCACCTTCCTTTTCGCCTGGCAACAAACAAATGAACACACATTTATGTACGTGTATTGGTACACGAACGCACACCCGCGAACACTTAAATGCACCTTCAAAACGCACACACTCTCACACACAATACGTATGTGTAGACGCGCTAAATTTGCTACACACATTCACAGTGTATTAATTACGCTACACGTATCTAAATACACGCACACACACAAAATCGGGCACACACCATCCGTCGTCGAGTCAACTCGTAGTGGTGGGTAATCATTCTATTTGCCGTAAATGTTTCTATTAATGGTATATATTTACATATGTATAATATTATGTACGTATGAGCATTGTAAATGTTCTAAAACCCGGCTATTACTGCATGGAGTAGCAAAATGGCATGGAATATCTATAAACACAACGCAATCAATAACTCCGTAATGTAATCGCAACACATAATTTTTGATCACCACAAATCACCCTATTAGTATACGGAAATTTGAGATTTTCGGGTTTGTTCATGGTTTGGTTTGATTGGGGTTCTGGTATAAACATCAACCAAACTAACTAAACCTTGACGAAAGAATCCGGAAAACTCAAATCTTCATATAGACTCCTACCATGAAAGTCTACACCTTTAATTATATACTGACCACAACGCACAAATTACGGTTTTACAAACCACAACGCATACATCACATAGTAAAAAACTCCAGAAATCAGAACGCAACGTGTACAAAGCAGTTACGTTGTTTTGGTTTTAAACAATCGACGAAAACAGTTGCATTTCGCTCGAATTTTCAACTGTCCACAACAAACATTTGACTAAAACATAAGATTTCACAGCAACAACATCGATCACTATGTACAAATTATTATTATATGTAGTATATAGAACATACACAGATATAAGCCGAAGAATTCAATTTTATGCCCTTTTATCAGCTTCTAACGCTAACGAAGGAAACATTCCAATAGCAGAAATTTTTAAAATTGCAGAAAAAAATCACTCACCTATTTTTTTCCAGTTCGTTGTGAGAAGTTCTGGAATAAAAAGAAAATAGAACCACATGAAAACCATTAAAAAAATAATTCCATATATAATTTAACAATTACTGTGTGAACAACCATGGAATAGTGAGTACATAGGTATTTGCCATTTTTATTATTTCGAAAAAACAAATGAAAATGGGAAACGTACCTGTTTCCTTGGGATTTTTTCGCTTTTGGCCTCTTCGTGATTGTTTTAAGGTGGTCCGGAATGGGCAAAGAAGAAGCATAACCATGTTCAAATTCTGTAACAACAAACAAATATTTGTAGATAAAAATTTGAACGAGAGGAAACAATTGGTTATCGCCATTAAATCGCTTACAAATTAAAACAATGATAACAAAGATGAATGACTTATTGCTTCATACCAGGCCATTCATCATGCACTTGAAACGTGCTGACTACATTGTATGTGTGTATTTGAAATAATTATACCTGCACTACATGAGGAAATTTCACAACCAGTTTGTTGCACAAAAAGAAAACAACAAATGAAATCTACAGGATTGCTAATAAAAGAACTGCTATGATTCAACTTTTTTTAACGAGAGACTGTTATATTGGAAAAACAATCGAATTCTTTGCATCATCAATACGTATTTTAACATTCTTATTTTTTGATACACTGTTAGGAATAACTTTTTTTCTAAATAATGGACAGGATCACGCAATCTTTGGAATACGTTAATTAAGTATCTTCACATTGTATAGATCTTATTGCAATAGCTGCATCAACTGTTCTAAAACAATTGATCAATGATGTATTCCTATAAGTACCTACCTATTGATATAACATTGTTTCAGGATATATTTTTCGAGGAGTTCAATGATGTCGAATAGCGTTATCATCAAGCAATAACAATCATAATGAGAAGTAGCTGCCATGGACATTCGTCAAAATTACATACATAGATAACGAACGGCCGAAACAAATTTAAATAACGATAAAAAGTGAATGACCGTTTGGAATGAGCGACTATACTGACAAGCCACAAACGTAATCAACATAAACCCAGGAATAACAAAAGTATTTTTGTGAAATGTGTAACCAACACTATATTGTGCGTATGGTGACAGCAAGGTCACACAATGAACGTCGTATATAACAACCAAGCAGTAGTCGTTTATCATTTGCTTTTCATTTCACAAACACAGCCTCGCTCGCAGGCAGAAGCGATTAGACATTTGACTGAAATTCTTGAAAAATAAATTGGTACCAAAATATCGTTGTACAGAAAAGATTTTTGTACAAAAAAATGAATATGGGTTGCCAATAGACTACAAAAAAAAATTGAAGAATAAAGCAAAACAACTGCATCGGTTCCAGGCACTCCAAATACGTGTATGTTGAGTTCAAAACAAACGACGACTTTTGTAGTATGAACAAATGAAACAAAAAAACAACAAGAAACATCTGAATAAAACAAAATAATCGACATTTTAACAAACGAAACAGTAACAGTAACACCACATTACCAGGGACATCATTAGAATTTCGATGGGTGTATGATGGAACCTGCCGATAGTTACGAAAAAGATATGGGTCCTTCTGTATGATTTAAGGAAGATCATCGTCCTTATGATTTTTCTGATAAATATTCTAGAATTAATAATAGGAACCTATAATATGCTGTATTTAACAGTCGATCCAGAAAACCACATTGCGTGGACTACTTTTATTCAAAATAAATTTTGTCCAACGTTACTGTACATTTATCTCATCTCGACCATCTCAAAGTAGCAAAAAAAAAATGCTGAAATCATTAAATTTAAACGCCCGTCCATTAAAGTAATAGCCTCATTCAGGACACTTATTATTACCTACTAGGTGCTACGTGTGCACAAATGTACAACACACACGTACGTACAAACATATATTTGGATATGTACATTAGCACTTTATTTCCGGTGATTCGAGCGTTTCAAAATTAAAAATGACGTCAAAAAAACAGTCGCAAACAAGACCAATAACAAACACGTAGCGGTTTTTCAAAACGATTTAATGACAGACATACAAATACATTTGATACTTAGCACTGATTTGCCAAAAAAAAAAAAATGAAGAACATTCCAGCACAGATGAGTGTCCAATTTCCAAATTGGCGACACCGTTGATGGTAACTACCTAAAGAAGAATCGTTCTAATGTTTCGTTGTTAAAATTGAGTGAAGTTTTCCATCTGTTTGAAGCATAGTTTGCTATTAGGAAATGACTTTTCGATCATGAATATCGGTCAAGAATCAGAGCTTGATTGTTACGAAAATTGGTGGTACCTATGCGAGAAACAAACGAAACACGAACACGATTCAAATGACCATCAATAAAAACATCGTTAATTTTTTTCCATAGACTTCTCTGTCTAATAAATAGAGGTATCTCTCTCTCACTTGTTTCTTCGAGCACACCAAACAAAAAAACGTCGTCAACCAGTTACCTACAATAATAAGTTGGTTCATTCGTTGCTCTTTTATTTCCCTTTCACTTGGCATTCATCGGAAACACTACACATAAACAAATCGCCTCTAAGATTACGAGATTCTGTAAACTGGGTTAAACCACCGTACACCTAAAACACCTCACAACTTATTTCTTTTACACTTCTGCATATATATATACATACACATGAATGTTATTTTTGTGTATATGTGCTTACACGTATCAAAATGCAGCATGAAATATTTGATTGTGTGTTACTTCAAAGAGACCTTCATCAGGCGAATCGAAAGTAAATTTGGGCGTTTTTTTAATAATCACTAGATACATAACGACATTATCAATAGACAAGTGTATTTAATATACATATTACGTAGAAACATGTTGGCAATCAGAAAACATGCAAACCACGTGTACGAACAGAAAAATGTTGTAATAATGACCTTGACTCACTTGTTTTGTAGGTATACCTACTGCTCTTTAAACTCTGTCAATTATGATTATGACTGTAACAACAGCTACGTAATTACTAATTAGTCATCCAAAATACAAGTAACTACTATTTTATATACAGTTTGCTATGTAGGAACCAAGAAGAGACAAAAAACAGCACAATTAGATACGTTTATAGCTATAACTATTGAAAGTAAAACATGCAAATACAGAATCAGTTGATCAAGGTCGAGCTTATTTCGATAACCGTCTCTCTACCAACACATTATATAGCATCCGAAATAAAATAAAAAAACAGTTGGGAAATGCGTATTCAATTGTCATTTCGTTTACAAACAGTGGAACATCATCAATCGAGCCTTTCTTAAATGAAACATTTGAATGCCCATCAGAGAAATGGTCCTCCTTTACCAAAGAAATACGACTATGCCATAATCAGAATCGGAAAATGCCCACGCTCAGTGCGAAACGTTAGCAATTAGCCATCTTTTGAAAGAAACCTTATTTTTCTTCATTGCGATATTAAGTTGTCGTGGCGAAACACGACGGCAGAATTTCAAACAGCACCGAAAAGATTTTATTATTCGTGTGGCGTGGCGCCCGCTGCCGCGCTTCTTCGATTTTCCCGACGCGGAAGCAAACAAAGGAACTGCGAAAGTCGGTCATCATCATAGCCAACCACGCACAGCGTATACATAATATTATAGTAGTGTAGTAAAAAAAAAAAAAAAAAGAAAAAACGTGAGGCATAGCACGACGACCAAATGCTATTACTAAGGAGGAGATGGATTCGTTGCATAGAAACAATAAATCATTAAAAAATGAAGACGGACAAGCCGTTCGTCCACTGTTCCTTTGAAACAGTGAACCATATGACAACGGAATGAGCATAAAGAGCATGGCTGCTTTGGAACAAACAAAGCAACATCGTCGACGATGGCTACGTTGGATTCAAGGTTATCCATCCATCCCGTGCTGCTCTGGCTGCTTTCTATGCCTATGCATGTATGTATGAATGTGTGTACGTGTAGGAACCCAGCAGAAATTCATAGACCAGACCAGCAAGTATCTTCGCTTTAAAACGACCCCATGTTCCACGAAAATGGTTCATGACGAGCAAACCATCAACCATGAGCAACCAAAGGAACGCAATGGATTAGCTAATGATTCCATCAACCAACAGGACAAAATTATTGGTTTTATTTTGGATGGACGCGCGCGTGTAGTGCAACACACATATCCAGCAGTTAGCACCAAACACACAATCAAATGTAAACAAAAGCATCACGCCACTTTCTCAGCTTTCTATCTCAGTCTACGGTTCTCCGTCCTGCTCTCTCCATTCCCGTCCGAAACGTTCCTTCCTTTTCGCATTCATTCTCTATCTCTCTTTCACCTTCATTACCGTTTGCATTATTATTATTACATCAACGAGCTAGTAGAAAAAAAAAAACAGAAACGTCATCATGACAATAATCATCATCGGAACGATCCGTCTCGTCTCATCGCCAGTCGCAAGCCACTGCTGCATGTGAGAAGTATAGCACCCGTGCCAATAATAACACAGAAGGCAACGTCAATCGATAAACAAACGACAGACGACGGGATCATTATTGGCATGATGATAAGGCCAGAACCTCGGTGAAGTACCCGTAATAATGATCTAGAAGCGGCGCGCTAGATATGTCAGATCGGAACAAAAGCGCATCGTCACATGTTTGTTTGTTTGTTTCTATGCAGTATGTGGTACGGGGTACTTGCCTCTATTTCGTCTCTCCAGGTACTCGGCAGCTTCGATCAAAACAGCGATGCTCATAGTACTTGCGGCCGAAAAAGAGTATCGTGACGACTGAAAGCACAGCGTTGTGGTAATGTTGATGGCGATGATAATGCTAATAATAATAATAACAATAAATAGAAGACAAAGAAGGCTGCGCGCGCGCGACCCTACACGATACGCAACGTCTGTCCGCCGACCACGAACTGGCCAACTGGCACCACAACGTACGCTCGCGTATTGATGCGCGATCGCGTTTAACGCGAGCATGCGCACCACCGATCCACAAATGTGCCATGAACAAATGACGCCGCACTGGCTGCGCGAGCGAGCGATCGCGGGTTGCTTGACTTCGCCAACAGCTGAGCGCGGACCCCGTTTGTTGTGTATTTACATCGTACGAGCGAAAGGTGTGCGATCCACGCGGTTGTACAGTCCGCACAAATCGTAATGATCCGCTGAATCACCTTCACCTACTACACACATTATTCCACTAACACATAAAGTCATCGTCACTGTAACACTGCCGGCTCCACGTCGTCACATAACGCACAATTGGTAATCGTCACTGACACACAGTCCGCACTAATCCACTAATAAACACTGAAACACTGCCCGTACTAATCCACTAACACACAACAAGTCATCGTCACTGGTTAACTGCCCGCACTAATCCACTAGCAAACATTGAAGCACTGTCCGCACTAATCCACTAGTAAACACTGAAGCACTGTCCGTACTAATCCACTAACACACAATAAGTCATCGTCACTGGTTAACTGCCCGCACTAATCCACTAGCAAACACTGAAGCACTGTGCACTAATACACTAGTAAACACTGAAGCACTGCCCGTACTAATCCGCTAACACATAATAAGTCATCGTCACTGGTTAACTGCTCGCACAAATCCACTAGCAAACACTGAAGCACTGTCCGTACTAATCCACTGACACGCAATAAGTCATCGTCACTGATATACTTCCCGCAGTTATCCACTATTAAACACTGAACCACTGCCCGTACTAATACGCTAACACTCAACAAGTCATTGTCACTGGTACACTGTCCGCACTAATCCACTAGTAAACACTGAAACACTGCCCATACTAATCCACTAATACACAATAAGTCATCGTCACTGATTAACTACTCGCACTAATCCACTAGCCAACACTGAAGCACTGTCCATACTAAACCACTAACACACTACAAGTCATCGTCACTGGTACACTATACGCACAAATCATCTAGCAAACACTGAACCACTGCCCGTACTAATTTACTGACACACAATAAGTAATCGTCACTGGTACACTGCCTGCAGTAATTCACTGACACGCAATAAGTCACCGTCCCTTGTACATTGCCCGCACTAATCCACTAGCAAACACTGAAGCACTGCCCGTTCTAATCCACTGTCACACAATAAGCCATCGTCACTAGTACACTGTTCGCACTAATCCACTAGCAAACGCTGAAACACTGCCCGTACTAATCCACTAGCATACAATAAGTCTTCGTCATTGGAATACCGTCCGCACTTATCAATTTAATGCACAGTAAGACACCGTCATTGAAATACCGCCCACACTAATTCACATTCATCAAGACATAATAAGTTATCGTCACAGAAACATAATCAGCATTAATCCACCAACACCATACATTATCACTGAATCACAGTCCTCACAAATCCACTGACACACTATAAATCATCGTCAGCAAAACACTGTCCACACTAATCCACTAACACAATGCGCCACTTCGCTTTGACACTGTGGAGCAGTTTTTCCCTGAAAAGCTAAAGATATCACGTAGTCACTATTAACACACAATAAATCATCGTCACTGAAACACTGTCCGTACAAATCCAGTAACACACAATAAGTTATCGTTACTGAAACATTTGATGTAGGTCCATATTCTATAATAAGAGTTCAACTGTTTCATGCACTAAATCGCTTTCACCGAAACTTTATGGCTTTACAGTATGAACCCACTAGCATACAAAGTGTCATCCTATTTGTAACACAGTGAAGCACTTATCTGTTAAGTCATGAACGGTAAGACACACTTCTTCACTCTCACTTAAACACTATTTTATTGGCTAATCCACCAACACGCTAACAGAGTTTTCTAATTCGCGCTTACAAAACACTTGCATGGGGGGCACGAAATCACTCTCGGTAAAGCACTTTGCACTCACTGAAACACTCGTAGAGCATATAAGTATTTCATTGTAACACTGTTAAGCCCTAATACAACCGATGGCAGAAAATCTTCCCAATTTGTTTTCCAATTGAACTCATCATTTTCACGTTGCGTTGGCCTTACTTTTGGGTTGACATTGAAATATGCAATCGCCTCTAAATTTTGCACTTTATTGTACATTACTTTTTTTAATCAAACAGACGTTGTAGTTTAAAACGGTCTTTGTAGAAAATCCGTTGAGGCAGGTAGAGGCTTGTTTGAATTTATGTGTGTATGACCCCTGTTTTAGAGCATCGCAGTTAGGCCGTTTTCTATTAATACAATGTACCAAACAGGTACAGTAATTCGATCCAAACCTGTCCCAATTAATTTGTATGCTGTCAACGTCAATAACATCAATAAAATAATGGCGCCGTTAGTAGAGTTCTTTGTGAGTTATCCAAATGCCCACAAATAGTTTACNTTAATACAATGTACCAAACAGGTACAGTAATTCGATCCAAACCTGTCCCAATTAATTTGTATGCTGTCAACGTCAATAACATCAATAAAATAATGGCGCCGTTAGTAGAGTTCTTTGTGAGTTATCCAAATGCCCACAAATAGTTTACGAACATTTTTTATTCTTAGTTTTGTTTATCCAGTAGTGGATTTACGTTTCTGTTTAATAGTCGACAGCCGAAACTTTTAAAAGAAAGGACAAAGACCACACCGGGCATTCCACCCCTTTTAAGCCGGCAACAACCCTCGTTGACAATAATCGGGTTGTTTGATACGACTCGCCCTATTCATTCATTCATTCATTCGGGACCCCCACATTCTTTCTCGCTGTTGATATGCGAAGCTCAACTATTTCAATAATAAAACACTTTCATTTTCTACGAAATATGCTACGATTTCTGGCAAAGGGCGTGAGAGACGTGACCAACCTGGATGGACCTTTCTCATATTTAGTGTTGTAACAAACGAGAATCCACTTCAGTTGTTGAAATTTGAAACAAATACATGCGAAAAACAAATTTACATCGGATATTAACAAACGCATGTGAAAAGACAAAAAGACATCTATCAGATACTGTTTTATTTCCGTTTGGAGATAAAAACTGAATACTATATTCCTTTTTTGCTGATGAGAGACTTGGGTTAGGACTTCGACATTCGGTTTATATGGAATTAATATCTGCCAGGCAGCATTTGGATTCACGACCCATTTTCGGCAGCGTCGCACAATAGCCGAAGACAAATGGCCCCCCATGTGCCGTTCAAACGACCTGCATGCTACATTAAACAGAGTGCCTATTTGCGCTCTGATGCTCCGAGCCGTTTTCGCAATTTCGCAGCAGTGGTGCCCCATCTCCGGCACAATTCGGGCTCTCGCAAACAAGATAACAAATAATAAAGGGGACAAACTGGCGTCCATGATGGCACAAGCACCACCACCAAAAACAAAAAAGAAAATAAATGGAACGAAGAACTGAGCCGCCGAAAGTTTTGGCGACCAGGCAAAGTTGAGCGTGAGGTAGTATCATTTTTGTATTCTATTTTTCAAGTCCAAGTTTGCGTACCTACAAACAATTGAATAGGTCTTTTCCTTTTTGTTCTCCGCTTCTGAGGCCCTGCAGTTCAACTGTTTACGACGAAGCAGTTGAATTTAAAGAGAGCTTTAAACAAAAGCGTGCGACTTACGTGGAAACGGTTGAATAATGAACGTTCTAAACAAAAACAGGTGCGTTATTTTAGATTAGAAAAGTAACTGACCGCAACTGTACATAATATATGTAGGCACCTACATTATTACATTATCTTAGTGTTCAGTTATTATCTTAAACATGTACGAAGAAACGCACGGCATATTCCGTGTTTTGTTATTAAATATGGCACAAACCGTTACAAAACATTAATCTCCGCTAATAACGATTATAAATTTATTGCAGCTAATGCTTGCACATTGTACTAATGTCTCAAACGTAACCGTATGAGCGTAATAAACCACCCACGAAACATGCAATGTAAAGTGCGCTCACTAGGACGAAGGATAATATAATGCTATGTATGTATAACAATATTCATTTTACTTAAAATAAAAACAAATAAATTGCCAAACAGTTGAATAGTCCTTTATTGTTTTCTGTTTCTCAAGATCAACGTTCAAGTGTTATTTACGTATACAGAAACAGTTGAACAAGTAGCGTTATATTTTTTTTCTGTTTTAAAAGATAATTTACGGATTTTTATCGATTTTACGAATCATTTTGATAAAATTATGAATTACCACTGAGTGTTCGGAGAAAAATAATCCCGTTAAACGGAAGTGTACTGGCTAGTACTCGTTCGTGTCGTATTTTCCTGCTCGATTTTCACTTTATCGATCGTCAATAATAATTATTGTAGAGAGGGTTTCCGATATAATAAAGCTGTCCGCGTTACTATGATAACGCGGGACATAATTTGGAAAGAATGCGAACGATTTTTCGTCATATAACGAACAGGGTCCGTGTAGCGTGAAAATGAAGGAAGATTAATACACAATCCCATCCATTAATCAATGGCGCAAAGGGTCCTTTCGAGACAACGGCTCACACACACACGTACATATTTATACATATATATATAAAGTTAAGCTAAACCCTCTATTCCTGTCTGTCAATTAATTTTGACAGGCAAAAGCAAACCATAAACTACACCATTGTTAGACATACCTAACTGGACTACATACATATCCAAGAGTATGGAGTCCTTGGAGAATTTCTAAAAAATAGTAAATAAAACAACAGAAATTTAATCGTTTCTCCTTTGTTTGTTGTATGGACAAAACAACATCGTTTTTCTTTGTTTTTAACTCTTATACGTTCTTTTTTTTGATTCTGATGTTGAGGGAAACGACATATTGAGAATAATACATTGCTGTTTTAAATAAAGTAATATATAGGAATTAGTTATTTATACAATTTATAGTATTTAAATTCTAATTTTATAGTTTAATAAGACTATATCTGATAATCTATCATAAAACACATAACTAATTATAAATAAGTAGCTTTGCTTGTAGCAACGTTTTACTGTTAACAAAATGCATGACCTTTTACGTATTGATGTTAACTCGTAAAAGAAAAAGACGATAATAGAATTTATCGTTAATACATATTAAAAGTATAATCAACTCTATCGCAATGCGACCTTTATCAGAAGAATTTAAAAAAACAACAACATCGTCTGCCTGTTTACATTTGTGTTAAAACCGTTTTATCATTTTCGTTATTTAATGTATCAGCAAAAGGCAGGTAGGTATGACATACACGTAAGTAAATAATACAAGAATACTTACTTATGTCAATTATTATTTGAAGAAGAAACGTGACTATATTGTTTACTTTTCTGTCATTTTATTATTATCGAAGTCATGTCTGTTAAATCGGCAAACAAAATTATTAATAATATATTTTTATTTGTTTCTGTATTACGCGAAAAGTATTTAAAAGTACAAAGGTAGGTAATAATTTATCTTCTCAATAAAGGTTTGGCGACCGAAGCTGATACTGCCCACAAATTGATTCGATAGCAGGAGGAAATTAGATAAGAATTAAGGAACGCCATGTAAAATCACTAAAACGTATCGTTTGTTATAAACAGCTTTATTTTGTTTTAAAACAATTTTAAACTTGCAAAATAACAAACGAGTAACAATACGTAAAACAAACGATGGTCTGTAGCAAAAGATGATTTGCGATCTACATTTGTTTTACAGGTTGAATATTTAACAAATTCAGACCATTGTGTAGAACGATTTCCAACGCTTTAAGAAGGTACAGCCTTGCAAACAAAAGTGGAAACAAATGATTTCTCGGCTCCTATAAAAAGAAACAAAAACCGAAATCACACGCAAACAATAAAATTTCTCTTTCACCCATAATTTAAGGGCGTTATATTTTCATTTTTGTATAATTCAACTCGATTCGCGCCTTAAAAATAATACCGTGTCAAGTCAAGCCGGGAAAAGGGGCAAAACGAGGTTAATACAACCCCTTTTTTGTTGTTTACAGAAAGCCCCAAATTTAATTAACGTGACATTTGCACATTTTTCCCATTTCGGTTGTCCCTTCATCCGGCACGTTTCATTTCAAATTAACATTAATATCGACAAAATAAAAACATAGATCCATATACAAGTAAGGCAAAACATTCACCGAACATAGAAATTACACATTTTTGGATTTCGTAACAAATTAGCGATAAATTATATTGCATTTTAGTAGTCGTTCTAACTTGATATTCGCGATTCAAATTTAACTTGCATTTGTTGGAGTTGTGTTACATTATTATTTATACAAAACGTGGCAGGAGGTATTTGCATTTACATGTCGAATGTGATTGGATATCAACTCGCCACTAGTGTATAGGGGAAAATTAAGAAAGTCCACGTAACGTAGTATAATGTTCAATAAAAATTAACCATTTTCATCCCTTCAAATTATAGTCAAAAAAACGTGAAATTTTTCAACTACAAAATATCTGGTTCCCAAGCCGTTACATTTATTATAGGTACGGACGTTCACATGTTTCTTACACTGCCAGTTGTGCAGCTGTTTTATTTTTCCTTTTTTCAAACAAACGATAAAAATCGAAGATAAACAAAATGCGTGCGTTACACGCATTTACCGCAGACACACTACATTTACATGCGTATGGTACGTATTCAAATTAACTAACTTACCATCAGTATGCGTACTCTGCTGTAATATACGCTGAAGACAGAACACATGTTCGATAAAAATGAACACACATGATGGATGTTCACGTGGCCTACGAAGAGGTCTTTGATACTGTTCTCTACGACTATGGGAAACTGACCTATGAACACGTACAGAAGATGCCATTCTTCCTAAAAAGTAGGCGATAAAACAAAACAAAATAAAATAAACAACTGCCTACGACGCAACGAAAACTTAATCGTTTCTGTTTTGTTTGTCGCATGAACATAATAAGATCGCTTTCAACTCAATTGTCTTCTATTTTATTTGCGTTTTCTTTTTTTTAAGCTATGCGAATAAAATGAAACTGCCGATTTTCTTTTCTTCATTGCTATTTTTTAGTAGCGAATTGAATGTCAATGATGGACAAAGGAATTTTTCGATTTTTGCGTCTGTTTTTTGAGCGAAACGATACTAATTTCAGTTCGGATATTACGTCCTGCTCATTAAGGGACTTAATTTTCCGGAAAATTCTTACATCTGTAGACTAAAAATCCATAAAATAGCAAGAAGTGCGGCTCGAGGGACCGTGACAACGAAAATTCGAGGCGGAAACTCGGAGAAAATCGTCGGAAAATTGCGAGAGCTTAATGCACGTCAAAGAAGCAATTTTCCACGCGTTTTATAATTAAAAAAGAAAATTGGAAAACAAATACCAGCAGTCAACGAAATTTCCGTTTAAAAAAACCTCGTAAAAATATTTATCGAAACTACAAAATGATTGTCTTGTAAAGTAGGAATATAATAATAATCATAATGATAAACACAACTGGACTTTTATTGTAAAATGCTCATTGTTCAAACGACAATTCGAAATTAAATCAGTCGGTTGTTCAGAACAAGAGAACAGAGGAAAGAAAAACCGGACTGAACTTTTCACACTATATTGAGCAAGAACAATGGCCAATTTTAGCACAAATAGCAACACATTGTATCTAGTCTCTACTTATGTATGTATATGTTATATGCATCTTTAAAGAACAACTCACCGGTTCTGTTAAAAGAGCAAAGTTAACGTCTGAAATATCGCTGGACAATGGAGGGTACACCTTTTCGGAAACTTTCTTTTCGAAATTTCTAAATAACGTCGATAAACGACCACAATTATATAAAATAAAAGAAGCACCTGAAACAAATGAGCAAATCTGCCAAAAAACAATTAAAACAATTGATTCCAGTTTACTCCAAACGAAGAAACAGAAACCAATCACAATAATATAGAAAACCGAATTTGTTACGCAGAAAAAAAAAGAATGTTTAAAGACGAACCTTTGCTACTAGATACTGTATAATCGTCAATATCCACAACTGTGGCTTGGCTTATTTTATTCTGTAGCAATTCTATTATAGCAGCAGCTTCTCCTAACTTTTTAAACAATTCTTNTTTAATTATATTAAATTCTTCCAGGTCCTAGACTTGGAATCAAAGGCTTAATAGATAAGTATTACTTCTTTTTTCATAAGGGATGAACTCATAGTTGATCATTAATTTTGAAATAAATGTATTTTAACATTTAAATTAAGTGTTCTAATTAATTTTGAAGAGTTTCGATTATTCTGAATCGTCTTTAATCTCATAAATTCGATTTTACCAGTTCAGATTTCTTTTTCAGATCCTCGTTTTGGAATGGGAGGCTTAATATTGATTATTTTCTCTTTTACCTGCCACTGTTCTATGTCCATAGAAGATATCATTTGTGTATTAACTCCCCCTTTTTTACGAAACTCGTCTAGATCCCGTTTAGACTTTGGAGCTACCACTGGTATACCATCATTGTCTTAAAATATACTATATTACTTTTCAATTTGATTGTGAGATATTTATTCTTACCAATTTCTAGAGAGGCTTTTCCATCCCTTAGCAAAAATGAAAAATAAAACATATTCTCAATGGTCCTTTCGAAAGATTCACTGTCAATTACAAAATTAAAGTACTTAATAGGTGTTTGCCTATTTTCTTCATATTCCCTTTTCAAGAAACTTTCTAAAACGTTAATCGTTTCATTAATATTATCCTCCTCTTTATCTATTGTTTTAACTTGTTGCAATTTTTTTTTCTCCAATTTCTCTGGGGCTTGTCTTTGTACTATTTTTTTTTGCTTAGGTTCAGGCATTACATTTGGATCAAATTCGACGTTACTAGTTAAATAAAAATAAAATTCACTCAAAAAGCACTTTAAAACACTCATTTTTTAAAAATCACTCGTTATAACCTAAAAAGTATTTTATAATAACAAAGTCTCTGGTGGCTATCTAGGTGTCTATAAACTCCTGCAATCTCAGTTAATACAAATATACCACAGTAAATGGATAATTCTCCTATTTTTTATGTTTAATTCGATAAATTCTAAGTACACTGACGTTTATAAGAAGTTGGGTTAGGATCCATCAACGAACTACTTGAACTACTGTCATGGTCGAAGGAGCTACTAAGTCGTCAGCTACTTTGATCTTTAAAAAGACCTAGTAATTAGTTACCTGTCAAAGCTCGTACAAAATGTACATTTGAAAAAAGATTATTACATAAATTCCGACTGGAATTTGCTGATTTTGCGTGACGATTTAATGCAAAATGTATCCTATAAACTTTCTAATACGTAACCATTGGCTGCACTGCTAAACAAGTGATAAACGAACTGCTATTGGTTCATTTTGGTCACAGTAGTTTTTTGTATATTGAATGGTAAATCAGCTGTGAATTGTAAATGCAACGTGTCCAGTGAGCCCAGATCTTTACAGTTCAGTATTAAATTCTAGTGTAGCTTAAAATGGCAAAAGAAGTAGTTGTGGCGATTCTGTATCTTACGTTCATCGTTTTAAGTGCAAATGGACAGCTACTGGAGGGCATCTACTGTGGTAAATTGAACTGTTACGACGTCTTGGGGGTTAGTAGAGAAGCCACTAAGAATGAGATCGCGAAAAGTTATAGAAAACTTGCCAAGAAGTACCATCCTGATTTGTACAGGGATATCGAAGAGAAACTGCAAGCTGAAGAGCAGTTCAAAGTCCTAGCCAATGCATATGAGATACTTAAAGATGAAGAGGCCAGGAACGACTATGATTACATGTTGGACCATCCTGATGAATACTATGCCAACTATTATAGGTACTATAGGCGAAAAGTGGCTCCAAAAGTAGATGTGCGCATAGTTATATTCGTAACTATTTCCGTGATTTCCATAATTCAGTATTATAGTGCTTGGCAAAGATATGAGACTGCTATTAAATACTTTGTGTCCCTGCCAAAGTACCGGAATCGAGCTTTAGACATTGCCCAGCAGAAGGGTATTCTCCAAAATGCCCAAAAGAAGTCCAAGGGAAAAAATAAAGCCGAACAGAAAGAGGAAATGGAACTAGTTATAAGGACTATAATTGAGGAGAATATGGACATAAAAGGGGCCTATGCTAAGCCCACAATATATGGCATTTTATGGGTTAGATTGTTTCTGTTACCATTCACCATTTTATATTACGCTTATTGGTATACAAGGTGGTTTCTTCTGCACACCATCTTGAGGAAACCATACACTGATGAGGAGAAGTTGTATTTGATTAGGAAATATTTAAAGATGGGCGAGCAACAGTTTAGTGTCCTGGAGGACAGTGAGAAAAAGGAATATCTTGACAAGGAGTTATGGATAAGGGATAAATTTAAGGTGTGGCACAAAGAAAAAGAAGATGAAGCAAAGAAACAACTTGCAGAGAATTCGAGGTACAAACAGTACCGAAGGTATCTCAAAAATCACGGGGTTGGAAGGATGACTTTTGATGATTCATAACAACATTTTTTTTAGAAGACTATAAAAGAATTTATTTATTATTACTTATATAAAATTGTTTTATTACAATAACAATAAAAAAATATTATTTTTCCATGTGCATTTGTTCTTAGCCATCATTAACTGAATTAAAAATCCTTCGGTTTTTTTTTAGTTATCTTTTAACAATTCATTTCAAAGTTCAAGTGTACTCACTCATTTTCCTTAACAATAAATTATCCATTATCTCGAAATAGGCAACGATAAAAGCGTTAACAAATTAGCAATAATATTTACATGCAAAATTATATCAAAACAAAATTGATTTTTGTCGATTTTATGAGTTGTTATTTTTGCGTTTTTGTATAATACCCTCTTTCGTGGCCAGTTTCTAAAATAGAAAAGTCCTAATTAGCATCTTTTCATGTTATTTAGAAAACATTTTTTAAATTGCAAGGAAAAGTTGAATAGTCTTATTTAAAATGATGCGAGAATTAATTCAAATGTGTGTAGTCAAGTTAGGCAACCGATTAAGTATAATACACATTTAATGAAATTTTGGATAAAAAGTTGGGCAACCTATCAAATTTTAAATAAGGATGTTTGACGGATTGCCTACACACTGCTTTTTTAAAATTTAAAACAATTTGAAAAGCTTTCATAAATGGCCTTTAATTTGGCACTTTTACGTCCAATTTGAATAAAAATGTTTAATTATACAAAAGCTCCTACTGATTGTAAATACTTTCACTTACTCATAAAAACGAAAACAAACATTTAGGCTTCACTAGTTCAAATTTCTCTTTAAGGTTTTAACAACTTATTTTTAATGGAATAGACAAACTTGGGTTTGAATATTCTTTAATTTCGAATTTACTAAACTTAGATTTCTTTTTCAAGTCCTCAATTTGGAATTCAAGGATTGACGATTATTATTTTAATACTTTTCAGTTCTTAATCTCTGAAGTATATATTATTTGTGTATTAATTCCTTCAATTAAGAATTTAAAATTAATTTTTGTTTTTGCGTTGAATTTTAACAGTTTAAAACATCCAAAAATGCCTTTAATTTTTATTTAATTATATTAAATTCTTCCAGGTCCTAGACTTGGAATCAAAGGCTTAATAGATAAGTATTACTTCTTTTTTCATAAGGGATGAACTCATAGTTGATCATTAATTTTGAAATAAATGTATTTTAACATTTAAATTAAGTGTTCTAATTAATTTTGAAGAGTTTCGATTATTCTGAATCGTCTTTAATCTCATAAATTCGATTTTACCAGTTCAGATTTCTTTTTCAGATCCTCGTTTTGGAATGGGAGGCTTAATATTGATTATTTTCTCTTTTACCTGCCACTGTTCTATGTCCATAGAAGATATCATTTGTGTATTAACTCCCCCTTTTTTACGAAACTCGTCTAGATCCCGTTTAGACTTTGGAGCTACCACTGGTATACCATCATTGTCTTAAAATATACTATATTACTTTTCAATTTGATTGTGAGATATTTATTCTTACCAATTTCTAGAGAGGCTTTTCCATCCCTTAGCAAAAATGAAAAATAAAACATATTCTCAATGGTCCTTTCGAAAGATTCACTGTCAATTACAAAATTAAAGTACTTAATAGGTGTTTGCCTATTTTCTTCATATTCCCTTTTCAAGAAACTTTCTAAAACGTTAATCGTTTCATTAATATTATCCTCCTCTTTATCTATTGTTTTAACTTGTTGCAATTTTTTTTTCTCCAATTTCTCTGGGGCTTGTCTTTGTACTATTTTTTTTTGCTTAGGTTCAGGCATTACATTTGGATCAAATGTACCATGTAAAAAGCTGAGTTGAGGCAACTGAGGGATTAAATTGTTGGCAACATTTAGGAGTTTAAATAACTTCTCAGGCTCAAAATCATTATCACCTTTTAAGCGATTCATCTAAAATAATTTGTCATAGTAAACCAGAACATTTAGATAAATAAAAGACTTATTACTAGTTTTGTGGAAAATTCAGCAGGATGGTATGTTAATGTTTGTAAATCAACGGCTTTTACACACTTTACAAGATAATCACTGGCAGAGGAGAGTACCATGGAGTCCAACATTGTTTCATCTGCATCTCTCACTCCTGCAGTTGTATTTTCATTTTCCAAAATATCCACTTCCTCTAGAATAGATCCTAATTCCAAAGCTGCTCTGATACCTTTATCTTCACTTTCCTCTAGAATTTTATTTATATAAAATACATTAGCAACTTACAACCCAAGTACTAACGTAAATCATTTACTCTATTTAACAACAGCCTATAGGATTCTTTATGGTTAGTATTGGGTGATCTTTTAGATGTTGAAGGAGCACCGGCGTCTTTCACATTAGACGTTGAAGGAACACTGTCGACTTCCATGTTTACAGTTTGTGAACAGTTAGTAAACGTTAAAGTTTATTACTTTGTAAAACTTATAACCACTCTACAAATCAGACAAGCATCTAATTTATAATATTTGTAATAAATAACTATAAACTACTTCAACTCAACTAATAACTTTTTAGGTTAAGTTTATATGGTTATGTTCAAATATTTATGTTTACCATTATGGTGGTTACATAGCAACCGTTTGTAAACGTCAAAGTGACAAGTAAATAATTCATTTGCTATTTAATAAACAATGTTGTAGTAATAATTATGGGATTAATGCAGCTACTAATTAACAATTTATTAATCGTATCTAATAAAAATTGACTATATCAATGATTTTAAAAGTAGTACATTACGTAGCCAGACTATGTTTTCGGAGAAGAAAGTTTGCATTTGACATTTCAAGTCCATTATACAACAAAAACATTTCAGCTATGCTTTGTGAATTGTGGTCACATACAAATTGCTGTTTTACATATGTTTATCGTTTAATTTTGCCTGTTTCGGTAATTATGAGGATAGTCTGAAACAAAACTAATTATCCGACCTGGTTAGCGACTATTAGTGAATCGTCTTGAGAAATTGACGACACCATGTGTGACAATCAGACGCCTTTCACCTATTTTCGCTTCTAGGGAAAAGGTGTGACCCGTATTTTAAAGTCGATTTCGGTTAACAGAATGTGCGTTACCGTAATTCTTTCGAAATAAAAGTATTTTGGTTGTCGTACATACATAAATAAAATGTGTTAACCTCAAAATGTGGCCAAGACTAATAAGTTTTTAAACAATTTCTTAACTTCAAGAATAATGTGGAATGTGCTGCTGTTGGTATGCAGTAGCGTGGTAATTCTGATTGCTGTTGGTTTGTGTTTGTGTGGGAGAAGAAAAACGCAAAAGTAAGTTACCAAAAAACAAACTTTTTGTTCCTCTGTGACTGACTACCACTGTTCTGTATTTTTGTTTGTTTAATAGAAATGACTGGCTAGGGCTTGATGGCATGGTAACGCAAAAGAATCCTGATGAGAATGTCAATCATTTACCTTCTGCAAATGCACAGAGTGCCCCTGATGGCATTTATACCGCTACCACTATTGCTGGCAGTGATGCTAATAATGAAAGAAGGTTTTGTTTTCCTTTTTATGTTTTTGCATGCTTAATTTCAGCTGCTGCTTTCATAAGCACCTGTTCTTATTTTTGTTAAAAAAATTGTCTGATTTTGCTTCTCTCTGCAAACTGTCTTATAATAGATATCATGCTATAAAATCTTCATTATTTCTTAACTTCAATTTTCCATTGCTTTATTTATTACAAAACTGTATTTATAAGTGGCTACTGAAAATGCATTATCTGTTAATTCAAGTAGCTTTTTTTTTGGTTCAATTAGTCATGTATTATTATAGATAGATAAACAATTATTGAACAGCAGGAGCAGTTTTCTCTTCAATTCTATTGTTGTACAGTCAAGCTTATCTGCACCTGTAAATAAGTATTTTATGATTTCATTCTTTTTCTAATCTGGAGAGGTAAACTTATTGAGTGTGCTTGTTATTATCTCCATTGCATTATACTTTTCCCATTTCTGTGTAAAATGATATCGTTTCTTTAAAAATAAAACGATATCTACTTTGTATTTGCAAAATAATCAGTAGGTAGCAGTTCATATCCTAATTAGATAAACAGCTAATTATGTTTGTCGTTTCTAATACCATTAAATGGAAAATTTCATGCAGATTACTGTAATGCAATATGCAAATATGTGTCTTCACCTCTACGAATTATATAAATTGCTTTTAATGAAGGCTATTAAGGCTAATTAACTTGGTGCATGAGTTTCTCTAATTAATGTCTGAACTATATTTTAATTTCCAGGTCTCAAGTGGGGAGCAACCCCCGAAGAAGTCTCCCGGACATTCCATTAGAAGGTGTACGAGACGTGGATGGGGTGGCTTACGAGCCCAGTGGTGACAATTTTTCTGAATTATATGCCACAGTTGAACCATACCAAAATGGAGGTAACAATTACAATTATAAATAATTTAAACCCACTTAATCATCTAATTCGATTTAATTTCCGTTTTTTCTTCTTAGCTAAAGCACACATGTTATCAAATAGTGCACCCTCACGTCCCAGTATATCGCAGCACAGTTCAATAAGCCAAGCTGACGAGGCCCTTTCGCCTTATGCAAGGGTCAGGGAGCATCCCTACGACAAATTACGTAAGACTGAACACCCCTATGCAAGTGTCAAGTCTGCCAGTCAAGAACATGAAGATCCGGACAGTTCTGGCGAGGCCACACCACGTACGAGTCTTCTGAGGAGCGAAAATAGTCAGAATATGGTGGAACCTGTGGCACCCCCGAGGTCACGAAGGTCGTCCTCGCATAACTCCACATGTGCCGACATCCCTGCAGCCTCTGCTGTGGCCGGGGGTATCCCCGCGAATCAAGAACTACCTTATATGACTCCTCCTATTGCTCAGACCAACTTTAGTGGAGATTCACAAGACTCATCGAGTAATAACGATGTTTCTCATTTTTCAGATGGAGATAACTGTTTTTTTTTTCTTGTTTTAGAAGGGTACACTAGTATAACAGTGAGGGAACCCCTAGCAAACATCAGGGCACAGACGAAAGAGCAAACAAAAATGTCTACCGAGGGCGATCCACATTATTCTACTGTATCGGATGATTCTGGTTAGTAATGCCCAGTTTTCAACCACTAAATTGATTGTAACTAAGGTATGTTTTGTTGCAGACGAAATGTACACAACTATCCAAGATCCAAATAACCCCCTTTACACGAGTGGTAGCGAAACGTACGCCCAGATCCAGCCCCTTCAGATAACCGTGGCAGCAGAGGTGAACGCTGTTCCCCAAGGTAGTGTCTCGCCTTCGGGCAGTTTAGATCCCAATTACGAACTTGCCCCTCAACCCCCCAGCGTCGACAGCCTGAAACACGTCACCCAAAGTCACTCTAGACAAGGTAAACCCTCACAATATTCGCGTTTCACAAACATCTAAATTACTCTACTAGTGACTTAAATAAAAACCTATTAAATGTGAATAATTAATTATAAATTTGTTTTAGCTTCCAATTCAAGTTCCGTGGGTGTTTTGGGTTCTCCTAAGCCGGAAAAACGACAAGCAAACTCCCCCTTACCAGCTCCTCCCCCCGGAAACCTCGACGACATGTACGCGAAAGTTCATAAGGGCAACAAGAACAAAAACAGACCCGAAAATAGCACTGGCAGCAGCAGTCCTAATAACGAGGGGTCGAGAAGGTCGTCGGGGGCTTCTTCGCGTACTAGTTTCGAGAACGTTGCTAGTCATCATCATCGAGCTAGTGTCAGGTCTTCCCAAAGTGACAATCATGTCACTGAAGAAAAGGAAATTGAAGAACACGATTACGAGACCCTTAAGAAAACCTCGTATACTCCCAGGGGGAATAAAGAGTGGCCCAAATCGAGGCAGAGTGATCCCTTCCAACCTGGCTATGACACCATCAACAGCCCGCCAAGTTTAGCCGAGTCAGATCCAGGATATGAAGTTGTTAAGTCCGAAAGAGGTCCTAGAGCGTCCAGTTCGAGTGAACAAAACTGGGTATGTTCTTAATAAAGTAGTCTGGATTATCAACAGATTTAAATAATCTGTATCCATAATATTTAAAGTTCAAAATAATTATGTTTTAATTATTTATAAGATCCACAAAAGTTTTGTAGATGATTAAACGTTGAGGTCAGTGAGTGTTGACAAATTTCCTGTTTTCAGTTACCCAATCCTTCTGGGAGTGACATTTACGTGAAACGGCCCCTTGCATCGAGTGCCAACGCCCTTATGGATGGCTATTCCGTGGTGAACAAGAAGAAAACCTCACCTTCGAATGCCAGCAGCAGCTTTGGAAGTGACACCCCTCGAGACATTAGCACGACTGAAGAACCAAACTATGAGAGCATGCCTAGTGAATCGTTTTCGGAACACAATTATGCAGTTTTAAAGTCGGGCGGCAGTGACACTGACCCCAATTACGAATCTGTGAATCACAACGACCCCAACTACGAGAGCGTTAAGTATTTGGATGTGGGTATGCTCGATGAGCCACCGTACGAAAGGTTGCATGACGACGACTCTAGTAGGACTGATAGTAGGGAAGTGCCTGGGTATGAGAGGGTGGGAAATAGTTTGAACTCAAAGGGTAGTGACAATGAACAGGGTGATATGCCGGATTACGAGACACTGCCCCAAAAGCGGACTAATAATGTTGTTAATAGTGGATTGGTGGGTGGCGGTGATGAAGATTTGGTGGTGCAAGTGTGAATGCTCTTTTTCCTTTTTAATTTTAATTTTAATTATGTGGTGCTACTAATGTAATTAAATAAACGAATAATGTTTTATACGGTCGAAAAAATGTTAAAGTACCTCTTAACAACAATATTTATCAGGATGTAAATAAAATTATTTATTATTTTAATAAANAAAGGGTAGTGACAATGAACAGGGTGATATGCCGGATTACGAGACACTGCCCCAAAAGCGGACTAATAATGTTGTTAATAGTGGATTGGTGGGTGGCGGTGATGAAGATTTGGTGGTGCAAGTGTGAATGCTCTTTTTCCTTTTTAATTTTAATTTTAATTATGTGGTGCTACTAATGTAATTAAATAAACGAATAATGTTTTATACGGTCGAAAAAATGTTAAAGTACCTCTTAACAACAATATTTATCAGGATGTAAATAAAATTATTTATTATTTTAATAAATACGAGATTTTTTTGTAATTATGTGATGACTTTTAATTTGGTTTTTTAACGATGGATCGACCGATTAATTCCCAAAAAAAAAAAAACATTAACAGAAATGAGAGGAAGAAAAAGTAAATTAATTAATTCTAAACACATGTAGTAGTTGCATATGTTGTGGTTCTTTCACTATTTGTGTACTGACCCAAAATGACCCAATATTTTTTGTTGTTGTGGAGGATAATGAATTATAATAGTGCCCCTTGGTTTAATTACTGTAAAGAAAAATAAAATAAAATTTAAGAATACTAATTATGAAGAACCCAAAGGCATTTTTTTTTAATTTTTGTGACATATAGTCAAAGATATCAGCGGTTTGTTTTTAATTGCAAAAACGGACTTGAAATTGGGGCCAAAATTTACAAACGGAATACAAGGAAGGGTAGAATTGGTTATCATGGGGATGGTCATAAATCACATCATATACATTCAAAGATATTAGTGATTTGTATGAGCTCTGATCATCTATGATCATATTTTGAATCACATGACATATGTTCAAGGGTATTAGTGGCCTATTTTTAATTGCAAAAAAGGGCCCAAAATCGAGGGCCGAAATTTAGAATAGGAATACCAGGGTACAATTGGGTATCATATGAATGAGCTCTGATCATCTGCGATCATGTTTTTATTTAATTTTGAATCACATGACATATGTTCAAGGATATTAGCGGCCTATTTTTAATTGCAAAAAAGGGCCCAAAATCGAGGACCGAAATTTAGAGTAGGAATACCAGGGTACAATTAGGTATCATATGAATGAGCTCTGATCATCTGCGATCATGTTTTTATTTAATTTTGAATCACATGACATATGTTCAGGGATATTAGCGGCCTATTTTTAATTGTAAAAAAAGGCCCAAAATCGAGGGCCGAAATTTAGAATAGGAATACCAGGGTACAATTAGGTATCATATGAATGAGCTCAGATCATCTGCGATCATGTTTTTATTTAATTTTGAATCACATGACATATGTTCAGAGATATTAGCTGCCTATTTTTAATCTCAAGAAAGGGCCTAAAATCGAGGGCCGAAATTTAGAACAGGAATACCAGAGTACAATTAGGTATCATATGAATGAGCTCTGATCATCTGCGATCATGTTTTTATTTAATTTTGAACCACATGGCGTATGTTCAAGGATATTAGAGGCCTATTTTTAGTTGCAAAAAAGGGCCCAAAATCGAGAGCCGAAATTTGGAATTGGAATACCAGGGTTGAAATGGATAACGTATGGATAAGCCCTGTTTATCCATTACCACAGATTTTTTTCAAAAATTTAAGTCATAACTTAAGGGGTTGTTTATAAAATACGTTCGCAACTAAGGGGGAGAGCGGAAAGGGTGTATTGTTTAGCGTGACGAGATATGACAACGAGGGAGGCTTTAATGGCTTATCTTAACTTGCTATTTTTAATCACAAGAAATCGTTTATAGAGGGAGGGGGCTGGACTCGTCTTCACTATTCGTTTGGAATACCCTAGGAATAGGGACCTCCTGCTTGATTACGTGTTTCATAAGAGCACGTACGTGTTGGGGTAGCTGCGAATAATAAATGTAAAACTCATTTGTACATTTAATATTTCTATATTTCACAATTTCAATATATCTATAATAATCACATATATATATATATATATTTATATATATGANATATTTTTATACTTTGTTTGTGTGTGTGTGTGTGTCTTATGGAGAAACTTTGTCTTTTTTTTATTAAAGTAGTTGAACGAATAACGCTTGACATGCACCCCCTTCATTTATTACTATATTATTATATATCGCGTAAAGAGGGATGCTTATAAGGAAGGGGATGCGAGGGGATGCATATCGAGCAGCATTCGGGACAAGAAAAAGTCCACAATTTCTCCATACAAAAAACAGGCTGATCGTCAACCTAATAAATAATTATTATTTTATTACATATTCGGATGAAATAATAAACGATACAGTACATCAATTCATTTGTTTTTTCTTTGATGTTTGTTTGTTTGTAATAAGATATTAATTAGCTGCTAACTGTTTTGGGGGGGGGGTAAATTGGGGTGTCGAATCCGCGTGTAAATCGGCTGGCATACAGTTTTTCCCGCAGGATACGTTCCAGACGACTGCCTGTGGGAAACTGAGCCCTTTGCATCCCAGCCGATTTGCAACATGTTAGCGGTCGCTTTCTGGATAGCAAGCCCTAACATTCCGTAGTAATTACCATTTTCCGCCACCGGCGAGGGTTGGCGGACAGTTCGGGGATACCATTTCTATCATTACGCGAAGTAAGGTGACCGATCATTCCTGGAAATTTTTCCGAACTTTTCCTACGTCTTTTACCATACAGCCGAAACTTTTCATGCCCGTGTAATTTTTTTTTCGTTTACCAATCAATCGAAAAATCGATAATTATCACTCAGTCGTCTCGATCGGAATCCCAACGCTACTTTTGAGTCCGGAGGTCGTTTGCAGAGTACTGATCGGTCAATGGGTCAAATCCGTGTTTTCATCCTTATCATAATTATTATTATTATTACTTAATTATTATCATTTAATATTGGCAACGCAATCGTAGATATTTAATTATTATTTTTATTTTATTTTATGTAATATATTTATATAGTAGTGTTACGTTTTTCTTCATCTTGGCGGGAAATAGCTTATCTAATATGCATCTATATGTATATAATAATAATTATTATAAAGTCTAATAATGAAAAAATTGGTAAAATACCATACTAGTTATGATTTCGTAATTATCATTGCACCACCCGCAGAGGGTGAGCACCGACGAGATTACGACGATTTTGTGTTGTATGCGTGTGTTGCGTGCGTTTTTTTTTTATTTTTAAAATGTTGTGTTTTCCGGATCGGTTGGCGAAACGTCACTTTCGTTGGAAGCCAAAGGCGCCAGATGCGAACATGGTGACACCAACATGGTCGGTTCTGTGTTACGACGTTTCATTTTGCCCTTCATCTTCTTTAACATGGTGGCCTGAGAAGAGGGGGGGTTTTCATCGATCGAAATATACACATCGACAAAATAGGATAAGTAGATAGTAGAAATAGTGATAAAAAATATTTTATATAATATGCAGAAGAAAAATCAGGCAATTATGTAGGTAGATATAATAGATATGTTCGTAAAAAAATATGGACATGCATTTCTTTCTGTTTTTGTTTTCTTTTGCTTGTTCGCTTTTGTTTTTCTCTGTTGCGTTAATTGTCGAAAGAAACAAAATAAATGCGGTTGTTTTTATTGAATATTTTGTTTGTGATTTCTTTTAGTCGTCTGTGCTCTTGTTGCCCCCCTCCCCGTTAGCTGGCAGAATACTGGGTTCGGTGGGCCGTCGCTTGAATTTATTTTTCTTCAGCATGGTTGCCTACAGGTACACACCAATTATGTGTATTACTTTTTCGGAACACACAGTATATATTACCACTTCGGAGATTCTGTATACCGAAAGAAAAAAAAAATTGCGCGCGGCAAATATTAAAACACGACTTCCTTTCAATTGTTATTCATTGTTTATTGATTCGTGGCGTATAAAGAATCTGCCCAAGTGTTAAAAAACCAAATAATATAGCAATTTGTCAGAAAATGCTTTCGATTAGACGTCGTCATTATCATAGGTAATTAACACGTTGAGTGGACCGATCGATCATGTTTAATAGCCAATGGAATACGGTCAAAAACATTTTCTTACAATTTGTTATTGACCTTTTTATTAGGTATTCCATTTAACAACACACCAAAAATGCCAGTAGTCTGTAGCAGTTAATTGGTAAAATGTATTAGTTTATTTATTGCCAAACTAAATGTTAGTGTCAATTAGTAACACAGTGGTGGTGGTGATGGGGAGGGACGGGGTTATACTGTCAATAAGCAACCAGTTAACAGAGAATTTTCAAAAAAAAAACAATTACACATCGGCACTTAATACATTCTTCCTAGAGTTTGTACAGCGTGTGTAAGGCTTGTTTTTGTGTTTATGTTTCAAATTTTGTTCGTTATTGAATTACTTGATACACAAAACAATGTTCAGCTACATATAGTAAGGGAAGGGGGTTAAAGTCTACACAAATGTGTGTGTTTTTAGTTCGAATCGGTGTTGATTTATGGAGGACAAGCAACAAATAAACGATCAAACAAGCAGGGTGCACAATAAAAAAAAAAACGAGCACAAGTAGTGCAGTGGATCGTCTAATAATAAAGCGAATCGGTTACCTTTAAAGCAGATTTCAAAACGACCACGTCGCAGGGACTTTGAACCCACGGTTCTCCATCCACTTGTACGGGAATATCGGAATGCAAGTGAATTTTTATATGACCTCCCTACACATACACAACAAACAAAAGAAAATCAATAATAATATATTGCGGACAATCGATAAATATTGATTTCGCACCTGAGCTATCCGCATGGCCGATCTCAAACCGGATTGTATCTGACCCAAATGAACCACCCCCGTGACTCCCACCACCTCCAGCATTCCATCCCAATGGTTCGGTTTACAAAATTGATCTTCCTTCTCGGGACCCCAAGGGTTCGCTCCGGAACCCCAGCTGGAACATCCCTTTCATTGAACACAAACGACTCTACACAGATTTTTGAAGGCCGAAATTACCTCAGTATGTTTAGAATGATGATACCCTCGACCTGGGGTAGTTCCACGTGTTTACCGTCGACCTCCAATCGGACCTCCTTGTGCAAGTCCTTGCACATCTTCGGTCCCACCATTTTTCGAAGTCCCATCTTTACGTAGACGCTTTTGTTATGCAAGCGGCTGTTAAATTTGTTCGGATTTTCTTCGCGGGCATTGTGGAAATCTAAGCACAAGTCGGCGTCTATCCCGATCCCGAAATAGTTGTTCATTACGAATATTTGAGAGTTATCTTCGTTCGCCGAAGCCCCCACCACTACACGAAAATAAGGAAAAGGCCCAGTTAAGGGTACTGATGTTACGTACTTTACACCGACGATATTCTTTTTTTTATTCACTTTTATCTTTCCAAAGTATTTTTACTTCAGTCTTAATTTATTCCATTACGTTAGATGTTACATGATTTTTAATTTAAATTATTATTTGTTCTCCCCGCCAGGGGGTTACTCATGTTGTTATTGTTATTATCGAGTTGAGGGTAAAAAAAGAAAAATTAAACGAAAAATAATGTTCTTTTTTTTGGGTTAACACCGTCATTTTAATAAGAAGGTTATTTACTTTAGATTTTTTAAAAAATTTATATTAGGTATTGTTAACTTATAAATCAATCAGTAAACTGAAAAATTTACTGTTCAATATAATGTTGTTTTGCCGTAAACATTCTATGTAGAAAGCGAAGCAACACGAAATTATAATAATAACAACTAATTCAAAAGTAATTAACTAACATGCATCAGTGTTCTGTGGTGAACTTTAATACGCAAAACTAGTAAATTAGAGAAGGTTTTTCAAAAATGTTGTGATGGCATCGTGAAATATATTAAAGCGGTGATATTTTAGGCAATATTAAATACAACTTTTTATTGGTTTTTTCCATTTCAAAAACAATTGCATGGTGTATTTCTGAAGTCGAAAAAAGATTGAGGGACCATTAAAAATTACGCCATAGTCCGAAAGAAGAATGAATAAAGAAAGAAGATGTTCTAATACAAGAAATATGAATTAAATATGCAGTGCCATTTAATTCTAACAATAAGTATCATTTTTACGTGAAATTCTCCCGTAAAAGTGCAACAACGAATTCTAGAAAGTGTATAAAGTGCGAAAATGATCGTTCACAGGTGCCCAACATAAGAAGATATTCATTTGCCTTCAATTGTTTCTATATTCATTTGTCTTCAATTGTTTCTTTTTCTATTTTTCTGTCTTTTGTTTTTCTACCAGGACGACAACAATAAATAATTTAAGCGACATCGAAAAAAATAAAAATTCTTCTTTTCCAACTAACTAGGCGTTGATATTACGTGACAAAAATAACAGCAAATAAATGATCAATCAATAACAATATGTGAATCGATAAGTATTGACGAGGCGGTTTACAGCAAAACAACATGAAAAACACACACTAGATTGACCTGTTTTTTTAATTTGCTCATTGGTAAGTTTCAGTTTGGACAGTTTTTGCCTCTTCTTACCAGAGGAGTTGACCTGCTTGTTGGTATCGTCTGCCTTATCCTCGGGATGAAAGACAACAGTCCAACGGTCCAGCCTGATCTCTTCCGCATCAATAACGTCCCTCAACAGATTCAACGGATCTTCCCCTCCCGTATAACCCGGACCCCAACGTAAAACTCTCGCCAAATCATTCCCTGAAATTATTACCTCAACACTACAAACAACAAAACGAAACAGAACAACCAAACTCCAAATATTTCACCCACAACCAGTGGCGGCTTGAAATTTTCTAAATTTCAATACTAATTTTGTATACGTAGTCCGTTCACTTAGAGAAAGGTATAGCGTGGACGAGATGCAAAAGACAAATGAACATCGGTCGTAGGCGTGTCCTCGGAACATGGACGCTCATTTATCTTCAGATGTTTTCGATTCATCTTCAGATGTTTTCGATCAAAGCACAACTGTAAGCCGCTGGGGTCGTAAGTTATGACCATTAAGGCAGTCGTGTACCTTTCTCTAGGTAAACGTAATCTACCTGGCGAGACCACATGTAGATATTTATTAGAATTTAAACGCTATTTAAAAATCAGCAATTTCGCGAATATAAGAAACATTTTGACAACATCCCTACTTTTCACTATCACGAGCCCCTATGCGACCAGCCGCCACTGTTTAGCTTAAAAAAGAAACACAAGTACTTGAAGTACCTGTTCCTAGTGGTACGATGGCACAGGCTGGCGATGAACACTGCGAATCCTGCCCGACGTTGTCTAGACATTGAAGCACCCACCCTATGGTCCCGTCTCCGCCGCAGACCAATATCTTGTAATTTTGGATGTTCCTGAATACGTAAAGGCCAGGCAGGGGACCGCCGTTATCCAAATCGAACACCTGATAGGGATTAAGCAGTTTTCGAAAGCTTGAGATCAATTCTAACCCTTGTTGCCCACCCGATTTGACGTTGACGAACACCAGGAGCGGCTGGACACCCTGTGGTATCATTAACGGTTCCAAATTTGGCAAAAGCATCACTGGAAGTAACAACATTTTTCCCCGATAAAGAGATCGAACTTATTAAGGGCATTTAGATTTTTATTACCGAGAAGATGTTTGTCTTCGTATCTGGATTCGCGCAGGGTGTAGAAAGCTCGGACGGCCCTTTCGGCATCTTCATAGGTGATTACCATCGAACCATATTCGTAGTAAATGGGACCAATTTTTGAAAACTTATTCTCTGCAAGCGCCAAATATAGAACAATAAACACGAATACCGCCCTATATATAAAACATACCCTTGCCCAAATAGTCCGTCAAGATGTTCTCGTAATTACGTTCGTTCAGATTGGGGGGCAAATTCCCAACAAAAAGGGCCACGTTAGGCCCATGTGGGTCCTCCTTCAATTGCAAATAAAATCGCATAAGTTCCATCTGCCTGATGCTGTCCCTGCCCAATTGTTTCACTATCTCCCATGGTCTCTCGTGGTACGAGAGTACCCTTTCCGTTACTAAAACAATTACACATCAATTGTTTTTTGCTGTTTCGACGATGTGCGTTTGTTTATTAACCTCCTCTATCCAGTAAGATTTCGCTGCAACGAAAATCTTCCGGCTTGTAAGTGTTTAAATTGAAAAGCTGAATAGCTTCGCTAATAATATTTTCCACGGTAGTGTTGGAATCCACGGGCACGGTGCAGAATGCCTGGGATACCTGCAACTTACCGGGATACACGCGAACTTCACCCTTGTCGTTGTCGCGATCCCTACAACAAAAAAACAAAATTTCGTTGTCTTTTTTTTGTTTTCGTACTGTTGCGATTCGTTTATTAGTTTTGTTTCTGTTTTTTTCATTGCTGCAATTCATTTGTTTTGCTTTCGTATTTTGTTTAATTTTTTGTTTTCGTAGGTGAAACTCACTGAAATCTAAGGAATACTGCGGGTCGTTTTCCTTCTTTACGATGCAAGTTGTATACGGGATTGGGATCTTGAAGACGGGCCTCGTCTGGCGAATACAGATCCGATAAATAAAAGGTGCTTGGGTCTTTGGTGATGTGATGAGCCCTTAGCGCTAGTGTGAGAATTTGTTTGACCGATGCCGTTCTTGGTACAACTATTGTCCGAAATATGCGACGCCTGAGTGATGTATTGCCATCGTAAACCTTTATTACTTCTGGTAAAATCAAACAACGAAATTATCACCCCTTGCACTGTTAACCACCGAAAATAGTGTTTACCTTCTTCCCTATCGTCCCTATCCGAAGCCCTGATCTTCTCGGGTCTCTCCTTAGACGGCGGACACTCCTCCTCCTTGTATCGCCCCGTATCGCCGCTGCTAAACTCCTCGGAAATACTTCGAGCTACAAAAAAACGCATCGACCACTGAAGAATACGTCGCAAACAAGACCGAAACATAACGAATGAAATAATGAAACATGAACCTCTCATCCTGTACTCTGTTGCTGTTATTCGATTTTGTTGCGAGATTTCAAACAGATTTACGAAACAAATAAAAAAAGAAGCCAAACGAAAGAGCAGAACGAAAACAAAATAAAACAAAAGAAAAATGAAACGTGTTTTGTTTTGATAAAATAAGCAAACTATTGTATCTCTTGAGGAATTATTAGCAAATAATGTGGGAAGGGTATGGTAAAACAAGAGAAGGGTGAAGACGGGGTGGGGGGGGGGCAACGAAACCATACATAAAACAAAAGTACCTCGAACGTAATGGGGAGGCGAGGGTTGACAACTGCCTCTACAGCTGCCAGACAAAACAAATGAAAGGTGCTTCAGAACAGCTGAAAGTGCGCTCCGATTATTACGATCGATCTTGTAGACTGCAAAATCATTCCCTTGTTATCTTAAAATAAAAATTAAAAAATAAAATTGTAGAAGCACATAAAAACCATAACGGCAACGGAAAGGGGGTCAGCACGCACGCAACGCACGTCAAAAGAAATAAACCAAAAACACGACATCTAAAGAAACAAAAAAAAAGTAACAAAAGAACGACGAAAAAAAAGAATAACATCAGACAACATACAGTTATGATTGTTATGTGTACAATAATATTACATAATATTTATGGTTGTAGACAGGTACTGTCGAAAAAAACCACCCAACGTTCCATTTTTGATGATTTTTCTTTAACGCACTACCACAACTGCGTTGTGGAGGGAGGAATGGTACTGGATGGGGATGATAGATACGATGATGTGCGAGACAGAGATAGGTAACAATTAAGTCAACACTTACGGCAAAAATACTCACGAGACAAAGTATCTTTTCGCCTAATTTGTACACCAATAATGGCTTCCATAGGAACTTCGGTTCTTGGAATGCTAACTGCATGCGGAGGAAGGTAAATGGGTTCCAAAATTCCGAAAGTACATTCCGGCGATACGTGGCTCAAGCAAGCCGCGTGACACTGAAAACACATCCCTTAATTTCACACGAGAAGAAAAAAGAAAAACAATAGCCGAACAAGTCGAAAAAAATTTTTTTGTACCGAATAATGAACAAAAGAACAGTAATAATAAGGCACAGGGCGGTTTACAGAGGCCTAGAACGCTCTCCATAGACGTCATCATACATTTATAACTATCCTTTTATCTCACATAAAGACGCAATTAACTTTCCTTTGTGGAGTGCCTCTCAAAGGGATTCGAAACGGTACCATGTAAAATAAACCGGAATATTTGATGTTTAAAGTGTTTCCTTCAAATTTTTCGTTTTTCTTTTAAAAATTTCTAGTAGGTACGTCAAATTTGTTTTTTCGAAATTCGAAGATACAATCCAAAAACAGTTTGTTAGTTAGAAACAACAGAAAATCTCTAGAAAAATAAAAGAATGTAAGACTGAAGACTAAATACAAAAACAGATAGGATAGAAATGCCATATTTTTTGAATATATACAACTGAAAATTTGCACACAACGAAACTTTTGGAAACAAAAGACATATCGTAAAACAGTCCAATCTGACTTACTGTGAGTCCACACCATTGGCAACGAAATCCAAAAAGACACTCGGTTGTCCAGCAAGTTTTCTTGCACATTGCGCATTTAGAATTATTGGGGAGGTTTCCCTCCCGCCAGTGGTGTACATGTCGCACATTTATAAGCTGTTTACCGGGCAAATAAGTGGCGTTCTCCTTACATTCAGCTATAGCAAAATCTTGGCACTCACAATGTACAAAATAATCACAAACTACAACAAGAAAAACAAATACCACCTGTTAAAAAAAGAGACGATCGCTGAAAATATTGTTCCGTTTCTCTTACTTTCGCAATGAATTGATAAACTGTCGTCTAATCTTTTTCTGCAAACGTTGCAAAATTTTCTTTTGTGATGGAACGGTTCGGACCAACAGTGGGCTACCGGATTCTTTAAACAAAAAGGCAATAGAGAAACATTATTGTGACTCAAAGGAAACAAAAATGGTAATCCAGACTTACTTTTATAAGTCCTGCGGCTATACTGGAGCACGGTGACACCACAGATTTTAGACATCGGTCGTGTACCACGAAATTGCACACTACAAGAACGAAAAATATATATCAAAAGTGTCAATCTGCGCCAAATCGTGTATGTTAAGTGGATGTCATCTTCACCAAAATAAATACGTATGTAGGTGTACTGTTCCCTTATATATTTTTGTTTTCCAATTAGAATACGAGTGACAAGGGGTTGTAAGGCAGTCTAGCGCAACAATAATATACATAATTGCAAAGGTTAATTGGGTCGAAAACAACAAAAGAAAGGAGCATTTTTACACTCCTATAATATTGTATGTATACAATATACAAAGTTAAAAATATGTCGCCATTAACAAGTCGCTTTTTAGTCAGGGGGATGTTATAAGTGTTTCAGGTAGACAAGTAACAATACAATTGTCAAGTGTACTTCAGTCAGACAAAGTACAACGTGTGTGATGACAAAAGAATGTGTAGCAGCAAATAACAAAGAAATTTATTCAGTTGTTTGCCGAAGAAGAAAAAATGACTTCTTATATTAGGATACCTACTAAAAATTTTACTAGATATTGCGACTTCATTTGTTTGAAAAGAACCTACTTCATTTGTAAATTTTCTATTTAATTAAAATTTAAAGCACTGGTGCACATGTGTTTCTAGACAGTGGGAAATTGGGATATTATGCAACATAGTTGGAGTACCTATAGATCTTGTTTGACCTTTTCCATTTCCAAAAATATACACCTGCCCGTAACTAAAGTCTAGATTAGTGCAAATTTAGTTCCACGACACTGCAAACTACAAATATATCCCATAATAAAATGCAAGTGTACGGAGATTTATTTTAACATGCATGCAAATCAGAATGCTTTTGGCAAGGCAACTATAAAATATGTGTTTATGAGCTCATAAAATTATCAGTTGAAATTTCGCAAATAAACACTTCGTCCAGTATATTGTCCACTAGTTTAGCCCGTTCAACTTTCGAAAGTCTTTCTAAATCGATGCATTTCGTTATCTAGTAATTTATTAATTCGAATTGCGATGTTCTGTCTGCGACAGACATCCAATTGGATTGAATAATAAGTTTAAATCGTTCTGTAAACGTTGTTCAATCTACTGCATTTGCATTTTTAGTAAAAAGAAAACAAGCAATCAATTGAAACTGCAGTAGATAGCAGATTCAACTGTTTATAGTAACAAAGGGGGAAAACAAATGAATCCAGAGACAGAGTCGAATGTTCAGAGATGATCACATCGAATTTTATGATAGAAACAAGTGAATTAAACGCTTTTGTTTGGGTTGAAATACATGAAGAAGATGAGAAGTTCAGTTAGATGCTGACTTTTTAATTTTATTGTAATGCCTACTGGCTACATTTAATACAATAAAACACACCCTGCGATCATAAACATGAAATTATCGATTTTTGCACATGCAAGTTGAAGGACTGGCCGTCCATCTAATCAATTCGAAGTCGTAAACATTCAATTTGTTCCCGGAAATAACTCGGGCATTTGGGGAAGTAGAGAGAAGCACAATAGACCGTTATTGTGGTAACAAACCGATCAAAGTAACGTTTCAATTAAAACTTTAGCTATAATAACTACCTGTCTGTAAGTATTAAGTAAGGCAAAAGTTCACGTCAGTTTGGGTGTTTTTGAGTTTTTTGTTTCAATACGTATGAAACGAAGGTTACTATAATACGTAGTGTTGGACTTTTGAATGGTTTAAAAATAACATTTGAAGCTATTATTGTGACTTACTATCATTGTACCATACAGTAGACTGTAGTCTAGTTGTCTGGAACCATAAAATCGAAGTAGTTAGGTACCTAATAAAAAAAGAAGGTGGACATTTCGCTTTTGTTTCTTCATTCTTTTTTTTTTTGTATCTCGCAGTTTTTTTTATAGTATCTATTTATTAGAGTTTCATTTGGTGTTTTATTAAACTTCTATCGCGTATAAGCACGCATTTATATATAGTATAGTGTTTCAGTAATAGGTGTATAGGGAGTCTATTCTAAGAAGACGCTTCTGTCATTGCTCAACAGCCTTTTCCAAGAATAAAACGTTTGTACGATATTTTAGTTATGAGAAATACCAGATGCTATTAATTGCCTTTAAAATCGTGGTGCCTACGTAACGATATAAACATGACACAGTTGTACAAATCGCACACAGTGGTGCGTTCCCATCTCTTTTTCTATTTTTTAATTGCACCATTCACAATAAAATTTACCTCGTTCGTTTTTGTTTCTTCAGATTCAGAGTCAATTCGTTTGTTTGCTACAGAATTACTTCATCTGTTTTTATTGTTTTCTATGTCGATTCGTTTGTTTTTTTTTTCTCGAGTGGAAAATAGAATGAACAATGAAAATTATTATACAATTAATTAATTACTGAAGTAGATACATAATAATTAGTTAACTATAATGCTACTTATTTTCCTCGTGTGTTAAGTACTTAATTTTCGTAATTTAGCAGAACTTTTTATGAGGTACCACACACAAATTTTACCCCTTGCAATTATTCGATCTGCTAGACTCCACCCACAGCATCGACTTTATTACAGGAATGATACGTGTGTATGTATGTATGTATATAGTAGAGCAAAAAAGGGTAGACTGATGACACAAGTGATGCCACGATCAATTGTTTCAATTATGTATGTACTTAGTTTGTTTATTTTAGATAGAGGTTTTTTATTTGATTCCTGAAAAACTTTAACGAAATTTATGTTCCAACAAATAACTTTCTACATTCATTTAGGAAAAACAATTGAATTCAAATATTCGATTTTCTCTTTTATTTGTTTCATTGTTTGTTCTTTTTATTTTGTTTATCCAATTAAGAAAAGAGCAGCATTATTAGTGACGATCGTGTCAGCCGCGATATTTTCTGTGGGATGCGTGGCACATCGGATCACATATGGATTTTATTCATATCTACACATATAATATGAAAAAAATTGATGGTGCATGTATGGTTTTCGAGTACCTTCGCAAATGAAGCCCTGCTGGATGAGACCCCACAACATGTCGCCACAGTGGTGGCAATAGGTGGGCTTGTGGAACGTTTTTTTGCCAAACGAGTGCCCGTGAGCGGTGGTCGGGTCGTTGGTCGGTCCCGCAACCGACGCCATTGCCGACCCCGTTCACGCCGAATTTTCACCGCGAAAAAACGGCGCTGCTCCGCACCGAACGCAGCAGCTGCGACATAATAATAATATAACGCGACGAACAATAACGCAACGACATCGTTGCTCCAATTATCACCACCCTCTTCTTCTCGCGAGCACAAACGAAAAACATTAATAACAACAACAGCAACAATAAGAACAATTGCCGTCGTCGTAACTCTTTTTTCCTTTCTTTCCTTCCCGTTTGTTTTTTGTAATTCAACTGTTACGCAGTCGTTTGTTGCTACGTGCGAAGACACAATAAAACAAAAGAAATATATAGATAACTAACAAAAAACGACCAAACTTCTGTCTGTCTATTGTTTATGATTATGTGATTTCGGCAGATCCGCCGTCCGCAGACATGATTGCGTCTACCGCGCCACCACCACCAGTCCGTCCCGACGCCTGGTCGTCGCGGCGGTCACCCCATGCCCGTAACGCATTACCCCGCCGCGCTCTGGTTTTTTTGGTGCTGCTACAACACAGTCCTCGACTTCTTCGTTCACGGCCTACTTCTCGACGATGTCTTCGAGGCACACGCACGCACACACGCAGTCACGGAGCGATCGCTCTCTCTCACAGGCCGCAGCAGCCGTCGACTGACACACTGGTGGTGCGCAAGCGTCGGCGCCGCTGACGACGTTTGGCGTCGCGACGCTTAAAGCGCGGGCGCCGAAACATCGGTCGCAAAATTCTACGTCAATCGCAAACACGCGCGCCCGCCTAGTTGCCAATTTTCCGATAAAATATCGAAATTTAAACTTGAAAAAATCGCAGAGGGTGTTGCCATATTGTACCAGCAATTGCAAATTTTTTCATATTACGGAACTGCACCGATGATTATTGAATATTACGTAAATATGCGTCGGCCATATACGAGGTGATCATCAAAACATTTTATTCCTTAATCGATACCTTAATGGCGTAGCGGCCATATTGATCGTATGCGTTCTTTTCGTGTTTCAATTTATTTGAATTTCCAAACGTTGGCGGATGAAAAACAGTCGCTTCACGTAAGAGGAAACAACGGACTGACGAAAAAGAACAAAGAAACACATAGATTGTTCGCTGTGAACACATTTTGTTTATTTGATCCATTGACAGAGTGATCAATTTTTTTCGTTGAACTTCCTTTGTTTAACGGCAGGCCGATTTTGTTTTGTTGAAGGAAATTGGTTAGAACGAGGGAAGAATTACAAAAAAAAAACCTTTTTTCTTAATGTTTGCAGTAATATTATATTTCTTATCCAAAATACTCGTTACAATGCAACAATAAGTTCAAAAATAATCATGTGAACAGTAACAACATACATACAAGCTTGAACGGCACTAAATCTACCAAACAATTGTTTATAAACGTCTTTTCATTTGTTTTCATCTTTTAAATAGTCTCTAAAACTTCTCAATAATACTTTTGTAATTAAGTTTACTTTTTAACAGCCCCTTGCCGGGTGCTGCAAGAAGAAGCACTTTTTGTTTTCAACATTACATTAGGAATTATTTTAAGTACAAGGCCTTTGAAAAAACGATTTCTTAACCGAAACAAAGAACATCTGCCCTCTACGTCTTCAACTTTCGCACCCTCGGTGAACACGTGCGATTATTTTATGATAAGTGCAATAGAATAATAATAATAATACAAAGTTTATAAAAAAAAGGGGCTCAAATAGCACTGGTATATATCCTGACGACATTTTTTTTTAAATTTATTTAATAACTGTAGCAGTAGCACCATTTACTACTAAGTAAAACTGAAACTGCTTCGACGAGATGTTACCTCCACATAATATACAGTGTGTCCCGAAAAAACTAGAAGGTATTTCATCCAGGATCGTACCACACATAAAATATGACAGTGCAAATAATAATTGTCGTGATTCACGTACCCCACACCGGTTTACATCGTCATATTATTAACTATTACAATAAAAATCTAAGCCTAATAATTAAACAAAATAAAAAAAAATGGAAAGAGAAATACAATGATGCGATTTCGTTACGATTTCTGCGAGCTTATCCCAACCCATGGTCTTCAAAGAAGCCCTGAGGTGTTTCCTCCTGCAAAAAGTATATGTACAGTGAATGTAAGCCTGGGAAATGGAAAATGTTCAATATGAAGGTGGACGGGCCAATAAATATTACATATTATATGAAATACAAAAAGCAACGAAATGTGTAATATTTGACTGAATGAAATAATATTTTGACATACCTAAAAAGTGCGGCAAAATCCTATTACTACGTACTGTTAAAAACACCACTAACTAATAACATCCACTTTCATACTGAACGCAGCTCCGAAAGCTTCAAAAAATCGAACTTAAACTATTGTAAAAATAATGCAAGTGATTTTGTTTTGTTTTTAGTCGTTTGCGTAGACAAGAACAAAAGAACGACAAAACAAAATCGAAAAGAAGCGTTGAACGACAAATAACCAACCAGTTAATGCAGAAACGATTTTATCTTGGGGAACGACAAAACAAAATCGAAAAAAAAAGCACTGAAAAACAAATGGCAAAACAGTTGAAATTGAAAAGTTCATTTATTATAAGTGGTAATACACATTCAATTTATCGTAATTGGCTTCAAAATTTCCAGGAGTTGTTACGGCCCTGCTACCACACTATTTATCGACAATTGCTTAATTACAATTTTCACAGTATTAAGAAAGCCCTGTCTTTGAATTAACTATGACAATTAAGTAATAATTAGCAAACGTTCTGTTCTTTACCGACCGGACTTTCTTAATACCTAATAGACATCCAAAAGTCGGAATTGATATTATCAAATACATAGATTTTGAGATCATAATTAATGTACCCATGTCTACATATAATTAAATATAAATTAAATCACATTTCGTTGAAATTATATCTAAAACCACGATATATAAATGTGAATTTTTGAACTCGCCTGGAACATAGTGTACAATATAACTTATTCTATAATAATATTATCCTAATTAAAGCTGCACTATAAATAATTTAAAATTATGTGGCAACTAAACAGCAGGAATCAAATTTTACACAATCTATCACCATCACCCTTAGCAAGAATACTAAAAATTCGAAAGTGTTGTGTTTGTTTAAACACAATCGGTAGAAAAGCTTTTCGCATCAGTTTTGCTACATTTTTTGTTTCAATTCAGAAAACAGAGGAGAAATATTTTACAATCGTTATTGCTTTGTTTCTAGAAAGTGTCATTCAATTATGTCACAGTTACTTTTTGTTTTAATTGAGGAAATGTAGAGATATTTGACAAACGCTGATATTGCTTTGTTTTCAGAAAACAACATTCAATTATTTTACAGTTACTAGAACTCGGAATAAGGTAAAGAATATCGCCACAAGTTGTTTAAAATTTTCTACTACGATACATACGTGGTACTTGTAGACGATAATTATAAAAACTTTCGATGCAAAGATCATGATTAAGCGCAGTAGTATTTTTTCTAGGCTCTACAAATGCTAGCAATATATATTATGTACAGTATAGTAACAGCTAGTTGGCAAATTCTACTCTATTATAGAGATACAATTGGTATGTAGAATCTTTTTTCGGCAATATTGTAAATGTACAATTTTCTAATTCTAAATTCAAAAAAAGAAACATTATCCACAAACCGCACAACGTACTACGTTTGCAGATAACTATTTCTTTTGTTTCTCCTTTCATTTGTTAAAAAAATACTTATATAAAAAATATATAAAACTACATCTACGGGGTGTATACAAAAATTTCCTCAGTGTGTACGTGGCAAGGAGGTCTCCCTCTATAAGAAGCCAATGTCCTGTAAAGCCTCATCTACTGCTTCGTCCTTTGAAAAATAAATTTTCAGCAAACTACCAATATAAATACCCCGATATGGCATGCAGATCTTTTAATATCATGCACGTTAGTTATTATTATGTGTATCAATGAGCAAGCGGAAAAGCGGGTACAAAAATTTTCTTTTGTTCTCGCACGTCAAGGCAGTGAAACTAACGATTTTCGAAACGAAGAAATATATTTATAAATTTAATAATTATTGTAAATACAACAAGAAAGTTATTCATTAGGAACTAAACTACTGGCTATTTAAGTAGAACTTTAATTACCAATCTATTTAATAATAGTCATAATACGTGTAGAAAATAATAATAAAGTATACATAAAAACAGATAAAATTTGAAACAAAAGAAACACGAAACCCTTTAACGCTACAACAACAACAGGAAAACAAAACACAGCAAGTGTACACGTAGGACAATTGGGAAAAACAATAGCGTGACTAGAGAAACAAGAAAATTTCAACAGCCGAAGAACACAGAAAATAGGAAATGGTGCCTTCTTCTTAAATATACATACATTCAATAAATGGCGAAGTTTTAAAATCGACAACATACAGGGTGTCCGATCAAGAAGCTATTTAAATTAATCCACCCTGTATATAAAAGGCAACAACCTTGCGGCACATATAAGTAGGTACATACAAGTAATATAAAAAAGAAAAGAAAATCGTAGGAAACAAACATTATTTACTACAAACTAGTACCTGAAGCTACTATCATTTAATATTTATTAAAATGTTAACTGTGTACTTGTTAAAACACCTGTGGGTGCAGTTTTATTGATTATATTATTTAATAAAGACGCCCGTCACTAAAGCACTTAAATAGAGATACGAAGTTCCATTTAATGGCACAATTTTTGGAAGCATGCTTTCGAATGAAACATATGATAATACAACAAAAACACATGCACATATGTAAAACAAAAGAAGAAGAACAGATTAAACAAATACGATACAGTAGCTAACTGCATTTGTTCATTTGCGAAAAATTTATAGTATTTATAATGAACTGGAGCCCTGACAACACAGATATTCTACAGATTTCATGCATATGTATATGTAAGGTATGGTACATATAACAATAGTTTAAAAGGTAACTTATCAGTCTTTTGTTTGCACATATTAAACAATATTTGTGCGGTCTTTTTTTTTTGAGATTAATCAACAAGTTCCCATATGTTTTGTGCTCTGCTGTACTTCTTCAAAGTGGTCAGTACAATAAAAAGTGAATATTGTTTAAAACAGCAAAACAAACATTGATACAATAGTTTTTGAAAGAAAAAAAAAAAATAATAATAAATATTAAGTAGGTACAAGGATGAACAATAACAAACATAAATATAAAGATGCAAGAAAATTGTTATCACATTATAGGTAAATGATATAACAACAGCAACAACAACAACAACGAAGAGAACATCCCCTTTCCCCCTATTCACCTGTTTTATAAATAATGTACTTAAGGAAAAAAAATGTAATAACAAATTTCACAGTTCATAGCTAGTGTCACCATTACTAACCTCTTGTAGCAAATCCTAAAATAAAAAAAATGGAAAGAGAAATACAATGATGCGATNCACCATTACTAACCTCTTGTAGCAAATCCTGGGCGGCTATAGCCTTAAGAACGTTCTTTTTGCTTGTCTCCTGTACTTCCCCACCCAATAAAAGCTCGTCTAATATAAAATATGCTTTTTCAAAATTGAAAATTATATCCAGTTCGCAGACCTGAAATAAATTTCAACCCTAAGCATTTGCTTTTTCATTGTTTCTTTTTTTAGGTAAAACTCACACTTCCAAAATATTTGTCAAGTAATTCTACATAGCGATGAATTATTTCCAAAGTGAGCAATTCGTTATCATCCTGTTCAATGGCACAACAAAAGTACAAACTGGCATATCTAAAAGCAATAATTCCAGGAGGAAATGTGTGATATGGACCCTTTTGGGGGATTATTGTACCTTTTATAGACAATTTTGAGATCCTTCCATTCAAGGAAACTGCACATTTTCGGTTTTCTTGCCAAAATGGTTGTAATTAATTCTCTGGTAATTTTTTTCTTCAATTTATCTGGATGGGCGACATACCATTTTTGCAATCTTAATTTGCCTTGTCGGCTGAACAGTAACATAAATTGCATCTATAACAATATTTTTTTTGCCTTCTAATTTCGAAAATTAATGGGCTCTAACAATTACTCACCATTCTTGTTTGTAAAAGTTAATTGAAGTGCACTATTAACTGCACAATAGATTAAATAATTACTGTTGTTACTGAACACGACACAAGGTTCCTAATCGTCCATTTTGACGTTAGTAAATATTTTCACTTTCGTGTTTTCTGTTTTGTACTCTATAAATTAATTAAAAATCAATTTTTGTGTATTTGTCAACCACAGAATGGGTATAGAAGGCGATTGTAACTAAGCAACAGCTCACCGGTTTAAACAGAAAAATAATAACTGTAATATTATTTATAGTATTACCCAAGTTACCATTACAAATAACTTCAAGAAGTGGAACAGAATTGACAAAAAAACATCGAACTGTTAGAGAAACAAGATACAGCAGCATTCTAGTGTTTTATTTCTAAACAATTGCAATAGCTGTAGGAATATTAACAAAAACAGAACAACAAAATTAAAAAAAGGAGCTGCAGCAATGTTCCGATGTTTTTATTTTTAAATAATTTGAATCAGAGGAGCAAGATTGACACAAGTTTCCACAGATGGAGCAACGAAATTACCAAAGGAGTACTTCGACCTACGTTCTCATGTTTTATTTTCAACTATTACATCAACAATGCAACACTTATTTGAGTAGGTACAACTTAATCGAAACAGAATTCGTGTTGTTTTTAAAAGTACATATGATTTCTACAGCCTTTGGTGTTTGATATCTAACATACGCCACCCCTAAAAGTTCCAGTGGTCAAAAACTAACTCTCACTTCTAACGGTTCCAATTCAAAATCCGGTCATCTAACTCTACCAGAAGGTGACCTGAGATGGGACCGAATATAACCCGTTCTATAGTCAATTATGTCCCTCCTGCGTTCTCCCGGAGTCCCACGCCGACTGCGCCTGCTCCATCTACAAATTTTCACCTAAATTAACCCTTACAGAGGCAAAATTCTGTTTTAAATGCCAACACACATATTTATAACATTTAGTTTTAAAAAGTTATAACACTTCTGGCAAGAAGATATGCCAAACAACGTAAAAACGTCCAAATTTTCGATTTGACTCAATATGGCGGCTCTCTGTCTGACGCCATGCGGAAACAATGGCTTTACTACAACCGCCATATTGAAACAACGGAGTTACTACAACAATATTTAGCGGTACACACACAAATAGAAGACGAACTAACACACAACTGACTGATTTTACTTGAATGTTGTAAAAATAGGAAATACGTGTTACTTACATACAGATAGACGCCGTTTTGTTGTTACCGATTCGTTGACGTTGGTTCGGCTACCGGTTGCTCTCGAATGCAGAATTTCGGTCTTTAGATACCAAACATAGTCCAGTGAAAAACCACACACATAGCACAGGAAGTACAAGTAAAGATAACATTAGACAGTCAGATGAAACCGACGAATAAGCAGCAGAGGGTCACGAGTTTAAAAAAAAGACAAAAGAAATCGGGAAACAGAAGCCGAGAGCAAAACAATGCAAAGCCAAACAAAACAAAATATTTAAAACAGTTGATGTTGAATAGAACAAACAACAAAAATTCGCAGATCATATTACACTTTTTGATGTACGAATGAAGTAATCGTTCAGAAAAAAAGTGAAAAATGCTCAAAACAAAATGCACTTGTGCAATTCGTAAGCATCAATTAATTAAATAAATAATTCGTGAAACACAAATCGTTTTGCTTTAAACTCATCATGCAATCGAAATCATGCAGTAGAAAAATTTGGTTGGTAGCGGATTTATTATAAAAAAAGGGCTGTAAAAAATGAACAGCAACCAAAACACAGGCATCGTTTATTCTGTATGTTCCCCTAGGGAATGTGTTATTTACAAACAACATAATATAAGGGAGGTATACTGCATTCGAACTTCAGACTACCATGGCACGGAATGGTCTACATTATCTTTAGAGCATTAATAAATTGTTCTTTTACGAAAAATATATACTTGGGTAACTCTCAAAATTTCAAGATAAGAAAATATGCCTCTAAGATATACATGGTAAGATCGACTTTGCTGGTCCTCGAAAATTCTAAGACAACATACCTATTTTGGCGTTAGGTACTTAAATTTGGAACAAGTAAATTTCCTTCTTATAAAGGCAGTAAAATGTGGACTTTTTATTATGGGTTTATGTCAAAAAATTTTCGAGAAATTAAAGTTACCATTTCCTAGTTCTAAATATTTTGAGGGAATTTGTGCATTTTACCTCGTTAAGCTTTCGCATTGTACTATAGAGTATTTAGAACAAATTTGTTTTTATATGCTACATAGTTAATAGGTATTACGTAAAAATAGTTGAACGTGGCTGTTTCAATTGTTTACACTCAGAAAAGAACATTGACTAAAACAGCAGCCTCTTGTAAAATAAAAGAAACAAATCCAAGCCGAAGGGAGGACCGTCAATTGTTCTAATAGTATGCTATTTGTTGTTGGGTGGCATTTGTTTTAGAAACGAACGTTTCGCGCCCAAATACAATGCGCAAACTTCGTCAGCGAATTTTGTACATCATCAATAATACAACGCATCCAACAATGCATACATACAGTAATTCACGTTTTTTTCCCCTGTCAACTTCGGGGGCAGGGGTCGGGTTACTACAAAGTAAAACAAAATCAAACTAGTTACTTAGTCAACATATTCCTATTATTTTCTAATTAACTACCTTCTAGATACGAAACACTACACACCCTAATGCTATTTGAAACGGTATCTCTTTTATCTTATCGTTAGAACGACTAATAAATTGATCGCCCTGTAGATCTAAACAGTACAGTAACTACGATTTTAATGTGTTTCGAACGTGTTTTGTTTTGTGTGGAAAGTGACGGCTACGAAAATGTGCAATACAAGAAAAACAAACGAAAGAACAAAAGAAACGTACTTGACAGTTATTTAAAAACAGATCAAGCGTGCGGCTACCAAAGTTTCGAACTTCTATGTACAGAATTCGTTATTTTTAATAAGAAAACAACCCCCTTACCTCGCAGTATGACTCAACAGGACGATATTTCTGCAACAATAAAATAGAAAACATTTCTAGCTTACTAATTCACGCTACTGCATAAAGTTTATTGATATAAATAATTGTCCAAAACAAGCGAGTAACTATGTATATGTTTATATGTATGCAGAAAATAGTGTAAAATATACATATATACAAGGGGATGTAAATGTTTAAGTTCATCCCCCGCATAAAAATATAAAACCATTGTCAATTAGCTTACAAGTGCCCTTAATGCGAATTTTCCTAAGGGTTTTCAAAGAAAACAAAGGTGAAGGTGTTTTTTTTTAAGTTTTGCAATTCATAAGGGATGCATTTGGTGCGAAACGGTGTCGGGAAAGGGCGTGAAGAATAACTGAATGTGACAGCAACAAAAACATATGATGAAACAATTGTTGTTGTTACCCAAAGCGAAAACAAAAGAGATCCAATTTTATTTAATTCGTAGTCGAGCAGATATAAATGTAATTTTTTATTAAAGCTAAGAAGCTGTTACTTAAAGAAAACAACTGAAAAGCGTTAGATAATCTTTTAAGTGACCAATAACAAACCTTTCCATTGAATACACGGCTTGTTTTTCTGCAAATCAAAATGCCATAGTAATAAAAGTTGCTACAGAGGCAATAAAATTAACTAAGAAATATCTAGATAGAGAAAAAATAACACAAACACAATGGATTAAGATTAGCTACACGTAACAATAGAGACATCGAATGTATTGACTTTTGATAGTACTTTGTAAAATATTGTTAACCCTTTAGTAATAATAATTTTCTTAAAAAATCGCCACAATGCTGTGAGAGAGAAACCTCTTTAAATAGAAACCCAAAAGGAAAAAAGTCCTACCTCAGTAGTCGGGTGATGTAGTCAGGCCAATTATCAGGGAACATGACCAGGAAGAATCCTACGGCGATTAGGATCATCCCGGCCAGTTTCATCCCTTCGAATGTAGCACCGTAGAGGACTACATCTAGGGCTGAAATGAAAGGAGAAAGCCCAATTTGCAGACTGTAGATGTCTATTTTTTTTTTTAATTTTACCTGCAGATACAGGGACTGCGGTGATTAACCCCAATGTAATGAACATATCGTAGGTGAGGGCAACACTGAAGTTACCCAATAAATTGGCAACTAAAATGCGAAAAAAGTTGAACGATCTAATTTACAGAGTGGTCCAAAAGAATTATTTCAATAAAAAAACAAAGAAATAAAGAGAAACAAGTTTGGTGAAAGCGCCAGACACTCAATTGTTCTTTAACCGATACGTTAAGGAATGTGCACTCGATTTAACTCTTAAGGGATTCGAATAAGAGAAATAGAGAAATAATCTTGGAATAAAACAAGTGCTCTACCATTAATGATAATTAAGAAAGATTTAAATTTGTTATATACGGGCTGAAGTCAAAAACCTTTACAACAAGAACGAGTCAAATATTTACTTGGGACATACTGTATTTTTAAATACCTACAAATAAAACTGGCTTGAATTCGCAATCCGTTTGAGTCTTAAGGGTGGTAACTTTGCCAAGATCATTTTAACATATCAAACAGTTGGCAGTGCAGGTTTTACGAACCAAGAAACGTTATGTAGGTATTATGAAAAGAACCGGAACTTCCCTGACATAAAATCAATCGCATTTCTCCCCCTTTGCTCATATACCAACCCTTGCTAGGTACATTTATTAGTTGCGATTATAAACATCGACTTACCCAGCGACAGAATGCTACACGCGACCAGCAAAGGCCATGGTAACCTTTCCCATTGTAAAGTTTCGAAACCCATGAGGAACAGCGTCAGACACAAGGGCCAGAGAAGGGCAGCGTTTATCATCCCTATCAACGAAAAAAACAACGCTACCTGTCCGTAGGTCGCTTCCCCGATGACCTTTTTGAACAGGACTTTGTACACGGCAGAACCTGCGGCCGCGGAAGCCGCCAAGACGACGCCTCCCAACGTCGGACTGCCAGTTATACCGTCCATGTAAGCCAAAAGGGCAACCCCCGTGTCGCACAATATCACAGCCATTATCTGAGAACATTGAAGGGGTTGACCTTAGGGATGGACAGGGCACGGCAGGGTACTTACACGTATTCCGACAAATTGTTCGTGAAGAATAACCCATGAGAGCAAATAAACGCACGAAACGTTGGTGGCAAATAAGGCCATAACGTCGGTCGCCAGGAGTATCCTTAAGGATCTAATGTACATGTAGTTTGTGGCGACCCAGAGTAAACAAAATAAACTGCATCTCGTCAAAAACCGCACTGAAAAGGCAAAAGGAATGAACTATAAGTTGGTTCGCTTTGATGGAAGGTGATAATGGGTCACGTACCAGCGGTAAAACCTTTGTCTCGAAAATCCCTTAAGCTTTCAGAAAAAATGTCGGACGGCGATTTACAACGGTGACTGCTTAAACGGCATACGTAGTAAAGAGGAAAGAAAAGTATTGTCCAGTTTGTAACAAACCATGTTGTGAAAAATGGGGCGCTATACGTCAAAGTCTAAAAAATAGTAGTAGTAGTTAAAAATATGAAGGCGGGTGAGATGAAAAAAAAAGAGATTCCAAACAATTGCTACGTGATTAGAAACAAAAAGAAGAATCAAACAATTGCTATCTACTTGATGCAAAAAAAAAGAAGACCAAACAGTCGCAAACAAAAGATGAACAATGAAAAATGAACTTCACACATAAAGCAAATTAGTAGGCTATTTGAAAAGCACAAAAATGTTGAAAACGGAGTGAAAGATGTCTATCTCTCTATTATATTATTAACGACCTGATGATGACTTACATATTGTGTTTTAATGGCTGTCATATTAAAGTCGTTTGTGTCTTGGGGTAGAAGTACGGCACCCTCCGAACTAATCGGTCTCAGAAGAAAAAGATATTTTATACAATGCGTTGCTCCTACCCAAGAAGCTGTTACACATATCGTGACCCATACGCCAAAATATATCTAAAATTTGCAGGTATTAAATTAGAATTTATTGGTTTTTTGGTAGATAACTTTTCGAAAAGGTCAAAAGAATTGTACGGCTAAATATAATCAGCATATCGATTGTATTTATTTTCGTATCGACATCGGAGATAATTAACGCTTTTATTCAAGGATTTTTACGTATATAAGTAGGATATAGATTCGTTTTCGTGTTTCACGAAACTTTTTTTTTATGAACAGTTAGCATCCATTGTCTAATAATATCAATGAAAAAGCACTGAATTTTTTATGTGCAGCGCCTTTCTTCTCAGAACCAAAACAAAGACATTATTTTTTACTGCAGTTGTAAAATTTCATAATTATGCAAAAAAATATCTCGCATATCCATCAGAAAATTACCATATCTCCGTTGCAACCCCCATTTGCATAATATGTGCAACCCTTTGCCTTACAGAAAATCGTTCGGAAACATGCAATAATATATCTACCTAATAAGTAATAAGGATAATCTATTAAATTTTTTCCTTTTTGTCAGCTAACCTTACGAGCATTTTTGGAACAAATCGACATCGTACAATTCCTAATACGTCCCGAACATCCTCCCGTCGTGGTGGTGTTCGGGACCCCCTCGATATCACCCCCTCCTCCCGTTGCACCGCCATCCTGTTGCCCGCTACCTATGGAATCGGTATGGGTGAACGGACCATTACCAACCCCCTCTTCGGTGACCAGAACGTTGGGGGTCCTACCCCTGCGTGGATTGAAGATGGTCGGAATTTCGCCGTCCCTCGTCATTTCGATGAAAAGCGAATCATTGGGAACGTTTTTTTATGGTAACATCTAACAACTTTAATATCAGAATTACTTTTAGTCTACTTAACAACAATGACTAAATTTGAAATTATTTCGAATGCAGAAAATAACAAATGAAAGAAATGTTAATCTACCAGAAATCACCCTATGGGTGTACCTAGTAATGGTTGAGATATTGAAACAACTGAATCGTACCTGAACAATTCGCTCTTATCAAAAAATAGTCTATAAAAATATGTGCGGACTCCACGACCCCATTTTATAATACTTCTGGGGTTTCTCTCGCATTTCCGGACGTATTTGGATACAGCATTGACACGCACCCCTTAAAAAGTTGAGTTCAACTAGCCAACTACTGCTGGTAGTAGCATTGATTGCGATCGGCGCCGTTACAATCAGCGACGCCGGGCGTCGGATGCGCATGGCGTTAATGCGTCCCCTGACGAAGTTGAAAGTAACATCTTACCGAAAAATGTAATTTATTAAAGGGTAGATTTGGAGCAATAGGTACATAGAATTAGGAGTCGTTTATGCTATAGGTTACACGTATAATTTCTAGCTTTCATTAAGTCCTTTAAATTCCACTTTACAACAGTGAAAACAATTGTCGATGAGTCTCTCAAACAGAAGAGTGTCAATTGTTTAGTTGTTGTTTGGTAGCAATTGTTCTCGTTGAGCGAAGTTTCAATTGTTTTGGACTGATGTTATATTTATGTATTAGATTAGATCGGAAACATCTTAAATGAGACAAAATTTACAGTCACATGGGCGCCTCGGCTTCAAGTCCTGGCCGATGCAATTAGTTTTTTCTTCTTATGTTAAAAAAATGACGAATTAGTCAAATGTAGACTATACAAGATACTAGTTTTACTTCGTCAGATTATTCAAACGTAAATAAACTAAGAGACTGATCGAATTAGATAAGAAAATGCAGCTTTTGTTTGGCTTTATGCTAGGTTTCGAAATTGTAGGAATTAACTAACAATAACAAGTTTATATGGCTTCATCTACATGCCATACCTGTCTATGGCCATGTCCATAAGCAACGGTTTCATTGGGAGAGAGTGAGGAAATTGAAAGTGAACTTTTTCTTTAGCGGCTACAAACGAACGAAACGCTGATATCCATGTGTAGAGTGCGATTGCTGGTTTTGAACGAATGAATGTGTAATATCAGGAATAGGTACACATACACATAACAGTGAAACTTTCTTAAATAATAATAGCATTCAATGCAAATAGGTCTTATGAGAATTCTTTTCATTTGTTTAATAAAGTATAATGTTATTTGTACGGAAAAAAAAACAATAAATTTTGTAGATGATGTGTTTTGTTCAAATAAACAAAATGCGCTCTCTTTATTATTTTGTTCGTAACGAGGCACTTGTTTCAATAGGTGAACATGCAAAAGATTTTAATGTGACTGAAACAGTTGCAGCCAGAAAGTCATCTGCTTTTTTGTCTGTTAGCAGGCGATTGTTTTACGTCTATATAGCGTGTGTAGAACAGCAAACTAAATAATTGTTCTCTATTTTTTTATTTAGCAAATTGTGATCAATCATACGAGCCACCACTGCTTGTTAGATCATCCTGTAGCAGGAAAGATATTAGATAATGATGAATATCTGCCAAAGTCGTTTCTTGTTTGACAAATAAGGTCTAAAATTTGAATTGGTTGGATTCTATGTACTTATACAATACATACACATACAAAAGACTGCTGTGCTGCCCACTAACCCATTAATTATGTTATTAAGGAACGCTATCTCTTTCTTATTATTAACAAAGAAACCCAAGTCGGTTTATACCTGTGGCTGCTGCTCATTTATCAAATGCAAATGGACTCGAAAACAAATTGCAAAATACTACAATATAATAAATAACAAGAAGCTTTCTAATAAACAATAGACACTTAACATTTTTTAAATTTGAAAATAGTCGTTGCTGTAGCTTCCGAATGTCAAGCATTTATTAGATTCCTTAAAATTTACTGGCGTAATAGTTTTGTATGAGATCGGAGACGAGAAGCAAATTTTGTGGTTTTTGTTTGTGGGTGTCACGTAAAAAAACCGATCGATTTTTGCTAAACGCTTGATTGAAGGCACTTCATTATTATTGTAACGTGGAATTATGGAAATTTAGATTCTAACTTCGTCTATTGTATATAGGAAATACGTAGTAGGTAATTCATTTGTTTTTTATCTCTCTACCAATAAATAATAACACTTTTATGGGATCTAGTTGTTGAACAGTTGCTCCAAATTGTCTAGGCAATTGTTTTTCGGTGATTAAAACAAAATGCTGTTCTCCGCAATTTTGTAACCAGGACCAGCCAGAGAGAATACACCTCACACACACAAATAATGTGCAATAATGAGTTTGGTACCTAATACCTACGCAATCTTCTTACATCTGCCACTTAAAAAATCTTAACAAAAAACATTTAATTTAATTAACAGCGGGAGAATCGGTTGTGTATTGTTTTCTGTGGGAATAGCAACAATATTGTTGTGAAAAAAGTACAAGGTCCAACGGTACAGTGCGCAGTAACAATAACAATCTTTTAGTTCACGAAAATCTTGAATTTTACAATTGCACTTACGTTTATCTAATTATACAGTCGTTGTACGTCTCACAATATGTAATTTAGTAGATATTGGCAATGTCACAATCGGATCATTATTGTTTGACAAAAGTTTTAGCGAAAAAATAATACGGTTTTGAAATAATCCGTTTGTACATAAATAATATATGTGTACGATGACAAACACAATCGGTGAAGGTATTAGCTGGCACTGATCCAAATAATTCTGTTAATTATTTCAATAATCCAGATCAAGTGGCATTCACACAGCCGAAATCAGATTGCCCACACACGACAGGATATTTAGACAGATATTAGGGAGAGAGAGAGAGAGAGAGAGAGAGACAAACACGTTTAGCCTATTTTTCTCGGCCAGACCAGTGGATAATGTTTTACATATGGGATAGATCAACGAGAACATCTAGGAGATAATTAAAAATGACCCTCGAGCTGGACAATTTTTCTTCTTTACTTGATGATGAAACATCTCGTTAAAACATGTCTAAGATAGTCATAGAATCCAATCGGCGATTAAAATGCTGAAGAAATTGTAGTAAGTTGTGGAAATAAATAAATTCGATAATTAACAAATAATGTCGTTAAAAACAAATTCGTAGAAATGGAAGTATGAGTTAGGCTAGCCACTGTCACATTCCAATTATGACCCTATGACAGAATATTGACATTTAAATACGTTCAACACTGCAAAAGATTGGTGATTTTTTGTAGATACCCAATATCCGAAAGTCGGACCTAAATATCTATCAATTTTAAGTTCATTAGGTGAATATGTATCTGTAAGTTTTGTATGTCAACTCAACTAAATCGACAAAATAGATTATGTCAATTATGTAAGAAAAATTTCTTACCGTTGACACACTTCTTTCAAAAGACTTGTTCAACTGTTCATGTACGGAATACTACGTAGATTGATGGTGTTTTTGAACGACGTGCAACATTCGGTATTCCAATCAGAGAGAATTTGATAATTGCCCGATTTAAAGGCATGCAACGAAATCATTTGGACTTAAAGACCCGTTTTAAAATAATATTAGGTGTATCTATATACACATATCCACTTTTGATACTTTCACAACATGAATTCCGCCTTTTAATAAGTAATAATAAGTTCAAGCGTATTATTGCGACAGGAATGTAGAAAATGAAAGAAATTTTTCGAATCCATAATAACCAGTTGTTGATTAGTCTATTGTTAATTTTATTTCGAAATCGTCTTTACGAAATCGCGTCAAGTATTAACAACTGAACATGAGTAATAAATTGTTTGCAACAAATTAAGGACCATTAGCAAAATCGGCTGGAAATATTTTAACAATCGACCTAGAGCTATTACTTATGCAGGTATTAATTTCTTCATTTTGCCTTTGCTAATTATATGTCTATTTATCTAAACCGGTTCAGTTCTCGTTCAATTTTGGAAACATTATTTAGTGCTAAGTAATGATTAATATTTAAAATATGCGAGAAGTGCTGTTGTCTACGAAAATGTAACCAAATGAAAAACAAAACAGCAATAATTTTGTCTGCATCAATTGTCATAGTTCGACTGTTTCGTTTTTGATATAGTTACGAAACATCTGAATTTTATGACAGTTACACTTGCTCTTGTTATTAGAGTTCAACTGTTTCGTTGTTAGCGAGAAACAAACTTGGAAACGGTTGAGATTTATGTTGTCTGACGATTACGGCGTGGGATTAACAGTAAAAGTTTCTGAATGATTCTTGATCCAAATCTACGTGACCAACACACACGCCAAGGTTGCCCAGTTCCGGTAGAATGGTAAAAACAATTCACGTTTCGTCAGACTATAATTTGGACAGATTATGATTGGCGATTATTAATTATTTTTCAATTCTTATCATTTTTACTTCCTAGCCAATTAGGGTTAGCGGAGATAATTACCATTGCTTAAATATTACAAAATCAGCCGTGGTTATGACGGAATGCCCTAAACTATTACGATTTTATTTTAATCTCCCATTTGTTATGCATAAAACGGATAAAGCTTTCTGGCACCTATGTAATGACAATGCAATAACGACAACACCAGCCGATCGCCCCCTCAACCCCGCCCGGACAGTGTAGGTCATATCGTAATTGTTGTGTCGCTTAAGTGTGACATAATCCAAATCCATTTTGTTTGGCAACAAGAAGAAAAAGATAACATCTACCACTCGAAAAAGTTCATGCCACAAATTCCAATAATGGGGTGAAAGGCCAAGAGGCAAGAACGGAAATGTATCGTTAAACTTTAAACTTTTTGTTAGATATGTAGATTGTGACCAAGAAATTGTTCTGATTTTGAAATCAATCTGATCTTTTTCTCAGTAGGGGTACAACAAAATAATTTTATCCTTAGTAATTATTAGATTGAAGAGGACAAAATCGTAACCAATCGTAACAAATGTGAGTTTTTGTTTGTTTGTCGGCTTTTCACGTTTTAACTACTCAAAACATCATGAAATTTTCTGTACACATTGCTAAGGGTACAGGAAAGCATATAGAACAGCTTTTATCCATAAAAAATGTTGTTCCTGAAGGCAGAAAAGGACATGGGGTGAATTGGATTTGGGGAAGAAAAAAGGGCATCAAAAAACTTCTTTTATTGTTATAGGTCAGATCATTCTCTTCTACCAATTACCAAATTTAGGTCTAGTATTGGCCAGTATGAAACAGGTCATTGGGTTTAATTCCATCTGCATAAAACGATGAATATTTATTTTGTTAATAA